TGAAATTGCATTCTGGGATAGATCCCAGTTGGTTGTAATATATTGTCCTTTTTGTATACTCCTGGATTTGATTTGCTAATATTTTGTTTAGGAATTTTGCATCAAGTTCGTGAGGGATATTGGTCTGTATCTTGTAATGTATTTGTCTCTTTTTTTTTTAATTAGGGTAATGTTGGACTCATGGAATGAATTAAGAAGCAGTTTCCTCCTTTCCAATTTTCTGGAAGAGCTTGTCTTGCATTTGTAGTGTTTTTCTATTAGTGTTTTGTTGAATTCATTGGTAAAGCCATCTGGGCTTACAGTTTTCATTGCGGTCAGAATTTTAAAGAAAACTTCAGCTTCTTTAATAGATATAGAGCTAATAAGGCTATTTTTTCTTGAAAGGTAAAGTTTGTGTCTTTTGAAGAATTTGCCCATTTCATTTACTTTGTTTAATTTTTTGCATAAATAAATAATACAAATAGTAAATACTGCTACTGGTATTTCCTGTTATTCTTTCAGGGTCTGTAGTGATTGTCACTCTCAGTGCTGGTTCTTTTCTTGATTGGGTTGGCTAGAGGTTTGTCATTGTCGTTGTATAATCCTTTAAAATAATCCTTTTTTTCCCCTATTTTTCCCTCCCATTCCATTTAATTTTGCTGTGCCCTTTATGATTTAATTTCCTGTACTTCTGTTTTAACTTGCTGCTATCTGGTAAAGCAGGTGCTGAGAACACTACTTTCTTTAGATGGTAAAGAAAGCTTTAATAGCTTTCTTTAATAGCTAGTAAAGAAGCGTTACTAGCTTCTTGAGACGGTAAATTTACCACAAGTTTTGCTTTAATAGGATTCCACAATTTTATACATTTTATTTTCACTCAGTTCAAACACTTTCTCCTTTAAAACTTGATTTTTTCCTTCAGCACTCACCGCGCTCCTGGGAAGGTGGGTGGCCCATAGACTCCAGGTGGACAGAGAGGGCAGGGCCGCTGTGCCGGCCCCCCAGCGTGCCTGGCCTCTGCTCCTCGGTAGTTAGAAAGATACTGAAATTTCGCAGTGTAATCGTGGCAGGGCCCTGTTCAGTTCCATCAGTTTTAGGTTCTGTCAGCTTTTGCTTCATTCATTTTGAAGCAACATTAACCACATTGGTGTTCCGTCCTCTTGGGGACTTGGTCTCTTCATCTGTGTGAAAGTGCCCGGGTACTTAGTAAGCTTTCTTGCCCTGAAACCTACCTCGTCTGATAGTAATGTAAGTAGCACTGACTTGGGTGGGTGTGGTATGTAGTTTTCATCATTTTATGATTGACATTTATTTCTTTATATTAAAACGTGTTTCTTAGGGGAGCATGTGGTTGACTTTTGCTTTTTCAGCCTGGCCTGAAAATGTCTGCCCCTTACAGTGGTTTTGATTCATTCATAGTTAATATAATTGTTTAGTAAGGTTAGCTTTAGGTCTGTTATCTTGATATATCTCATAATGATACTTGCTTTTATTTGTTCTATTTGATCTCTTCCCTCCCGTATTCTTTCTACCTTTTTTTTTAGATTTTTTTTTTAAAAAATTGATTCCTTAAGCTGGGCATGGTGGTACATCCCTGTAATCTTAGCACTCAGGAGGCTGAGGCAGGAGGATTCTTGCAAGTTCAAGACCAGCCTGAGTTACAAAGTGAGCTGAAGGCCAGCCTCAACTGCATAGTGCAACTGTCTCAAAAAGACAAAAAATAAAAAAGGTTCTTTTTGGGGGGGCTGTTGGGGATTGAACTTAGAGTTTTTGTCCTGAGTGATAGCCCTACCCTTCTGTATTTTTTATTTTGAGACAGGGTCTCACTAAGCTTCTGAATTCCCAGACTGAGCTAGAATCTGATCTTTCCCCCTTAGCCTCCCCAGAGTGCTGGATTATAAGCATGTTCCACCACGCCTGGTGTTTTATTTCTGTGCTTGCCTTACGGTTTACTGCATAATCTTTAACATCATAGTCTACTGCCAACTGATACCTGCTATGTCAGGTATAGTATCAAAATCTTGTCATAAATATTTTATTTTTTCTTCAATAATCTGCTGTTACTGTCAGGTATGTCATTAAGACCCACATCGCATGATTATTTTTTTAAAAGTTTTAAATCAAGTTACATTGAAAGAAAAGATATAAAACTAAACCTGTAGTTGCCAACTCTAGTGCTCGTCATTCCTTTGTGTAAATCTGTGTTCCCATCTGGTGCCAATTTTCTTTTGCTTTCTCTCTTTCTCTCCTTGGCCAGGGACTCCATTTTCACGTGTGTGGTGCCTGCTGTCCCAGGGTTCATTCATGTGCTTTGTAAATTTTTGTAACATTTCATTTTAGATAGTTTCTATTCTTAGATTTTCCTTTTCACTCACCTTTTCTTCTGTTTAGCTTGTTTTTAATGACGCCATCCGTGTACGTGTGTGTGTGCATGTATATTACTTAGAAATTATAGTTTTTATCTCTAGAAGTCGTTTGATTATTTTCATGTACATATGTGTATATAAAAAATTTATATTCTGTGTCTCTAGTTCTTTTGACATATGGTGTAACAAAGTCCTAACCCTTTTAATATTCTAGTTAATCCTAACGTCTGTGACAGGTATGGGTTGTATTCAATTTGGCTTGACTTTTTCATTTTTTACATTTTAAGTTTTATTTTCCTGTTTCTTTGTACACCTGGTAATTCTTTTTTAACAAGTTATAAGGATAATAAAATCCTATAAAACAAAACAGAGTAAAACCAACCAAAACAAAGCTTGGTATAGAACTTAGAAGCAGGGTATCGGGAAGACAAGAATGGCTACCATAGCATGTCTTGTTATCTTCACAATAATTGTTCATTCCATCAGGTATAGCAACATCAGCCAAACAAAACAGAATCAAACTGATCAAAACAGAACTTTGAATAAAGCAAAACAATTGGAATAATACAAACCAGTGAGAAAACATTGTATTTCAAAGACAAGATAGAAGGACGTTTCCCATATTTGCTATACTGCATACTGTCATCCCAATAGATGCTCAGAGTGCTGAGCCCCGGCCTGCAAAATCAACCAAACATCGCATGCATTCAGTTGCTTTTTGTACCTCAGTTGCTATCAACTCAGCCTGTCCTCTGAACCAGCTGGTTGCTAGCGGTGGAGGTGTGTTGATTCTCAGCCCTTGCCTGGTAGGCTCACAGAAGGTACTATCTTGATTTTTCTTTTCCTGGGTCCCTTGTAAGGCTTACCAGAAAGGCTGTTTAGTTGGCTTCTTCACAGCTGATAATTCTTGATTATATAACAGATATGGCAAATTTTGCCTTGACGGGTGCTGGATATTTTTGTATTGTTACAAATATTCTAGCGAGTGTGGTGGTGCACTCCTGTAATCTCAGCACTTGGGAGGCTGAGGCAGGAGGATCATTGCAAGTTTGAGACCAGCCTGAGCTACAAAGCTTGCTAAGGCCAGCCTGAACTGGGTAGCAAGACCCTGTCTCAAAAAGACAATAAATAAATAAATAAGTATTCTTTAGCTTAATCCTGGAATTCAGTTAGGTCAGGTGGAGGTCACTTGGCCTTCGTGAGTCTTGGTCTTGGGTCTGAAGTAGCACTTAGCTTAGGGCAGTCATTCCTGCTGCACCCTTCTGAAGGTTGTGCCTGGTCCCTTGCAAGTTCCCAGAGTTTTACAGTCCATTGGTGACCTTGTTCTGAGCCTGTATGAGACCTGCTTCCTTGGATCTTCCCAGCTGCTTCTTTCCAAGCTGCCACACTCCATTTTGTGTTGCTGTATAGTAGAACACCACACACTGGGTAATTTATGAAGAGAAGACATTTATTTCTCAGGTTCTGGAAGCCAGGAAGTCTGCCATCCAGGTACAGGTGTTTGGCACAGGCCTCTGTAACCATGTTATCCTAGCATGAGGGTAACCGGGCAGGAGAGAGCAGGACCTCACAGCCTGCCCACCTTACGGTTCTAGTCTTGGAGCACTGAGGCACTGGGGATTAAGTTCACAACACATGAACTTTAGGGAACACATTCGGACCCCAGTGGCAGTCTTGGGTGATGTATTCTCATGTGAGGGCAGTCACTGTTTTGCTGAGCACTTGAGGTTCATGCTCCACAGACCTCTGTGGTTTTCTGTGTTTTCCATCTGACATTCTCACCAGTGACTTGTCGCCCGCCTGTTCCTTTCCAGCTGTTGGTCCTGCCCGGTTCCCTTGCTGCCTACCTAGAAACACAGAGCAGCTGAGACGTTCACAGGACTGTCCTCGTCCCTGGGTCTCAGGGCCCACTGCTCTGTGTGTTTTGATAGTCCATGGCTTGCAAACAGTTGTTCCTTACATTTTATATGCTCATTTGGTTGCTGGAGGTAGGAGAGTAAATCTGTAATCCCAGTCTGTACTGGAAGGAGAAGTGCCAACAGTATGTTTTGAAAGTATATTTTAACAAAGGCATTCCATTGTGTTGTCAGCTATGGAAGGCTTGTAGCATTTTATGCAATAGAATTTAACCCATGCGGACAGCGTGGAGACGTGGAGCTGTGGGAATCATGTTTCTAAGCTGGGTAAAATGCAAATAAAATCATCAGTGCAATCAAACTGATCAATCTGAGAGTTCCTAGTTAGGGAATTCTCTCAGAAATATTAGTGGAAGAGGCCTGGGGCAACCAGTGGCAAGCCAAGAGAAATAAAAAATAAAAATAAAATCAGCTACTGTGGGTAGAGACAACAATAGCAACACAACAAAACAGATATCCCAACTAAGGTACAATTAAATTTGCATAAAACTTGCCAACACGAAATGTGTGATTAGATATGGCATTTATTCTAAAGTTTTCTTTAGTTCAATATAGATAGTATAAGCTAATAGTTTTTAAGTATTGAAAAGAGATATTTGTGTTTTCAGTGGATTGCTGCATGCGTGGTGGTCGGTACAATCAGAAATGGAAAAGCGTCTCTCACAAACCCTGGACCCATTCCTTACAGATTTAACCAGGACTGTGTGCGTTCCTGAGCATGATTTGTAATTTCTTACAGATTTGTGGGATCGCTGGGTACAATCATCATAAAATGTAAAGATTTTCGAATTATTCAGTTGGATATTCCTGGAATGGAGGAATGCTTAAACATAGCCAGTTCCATTGAGGTAAGTTTGTGTGCGTGCATGTGTGTGCATGCGTGTGTGTGTGTGTGTGTGTGTGTGTGTGCGCGCGCGTGCAGATTTGTGATGATAAGGTTGTTCTGTCTTTTTTCTTTTTAAATCATATGTTAGTAGCACAGAATGGCAAGTTTCTTTTGGAAATTTGGTACATGAATTTAACATACCTTAATGATTTTAAAATCTCATTACTGCCCTCTTTCATCCCTGATCCCTTTCCCTACCTCCAAAATTCCGCCCTCTAGTTTCCTGTCATCATTCATTCATGGTTCCTCATATAAGAACCCATGCAGTATTTAACTTTCTGAGTCTGGATTATTTCACTTAGCAGGATGCTCTCCTCCAGGTCTATCCATTTTCCTGTAAATGACGTGATTTTATTCTTCCTTATGGCATACTAAGAGCCCATCCAGTATTTATCTGTTCATGGCATCTAGTCTGTTTGCACAGTTAGCTATGGTAGACTGAAGTTCTAAGAAGGTATCACTGTAGTATGCTGTCTTTCATTCTTCGGGGAATATACACTGGAGCAGTTAGCTGGATAGATGGTGGCTTTATTCGTAGTTTCTTGAGGACTCACCACACAGGTTTCCGAAGTAGTTGTTCCCGTTTACCTTCCCACCTAGTAGGTGATTTCTTTTTTCTCTTGCATTCTTGTCAGCATTTGCTGTCTTTTGTATTCTTGATGGCCTAAGTAGGGTGAGATGGGATCCCTAATGGCTAAACTTGTGGAACATTTTTTCATACACTTATTGGCCATCTGAACTACTGTTTTTGAGACGTGTGTGTTCAATTCATTTGTCCACTGAGTGATTGGGCTATTTGGTTTTTTGGTGTTAGATTTTTGAGTTCGTTATATATTCTGGGTGTTAGCAGTGGCTGGCAAAATATTTCCCCCATTCTGTAGACGTCTCTGCACTCTGGATTATTTCCTTTGCTAATCAAAGCTTTTACATTTGATATAATCCCATTTATTGATTCTCGGTATTTTCTGTGCTGTGGAGCTCTGTTCAGGAAGCGTTGCCCGTGCTTGTTGCTTCCAGTGATTCCCCTGGAGTACCTTCCAGCAGCTTTAAAGTTTCCTGTTTTATATCTAAGCCTTTGATCCATTTTGATTTTATTTTGGTACAGGCCAAGAGGGATATAGCTTCAATCTCCTGTATGTTTTCCCAGTACCATTTTTAATGAGACTCTTTTTTCCCCAGTGTATGTTTTTGACTCCTTTGAACAAAGGAATGGTCAAAGGAAGCTCCAGCTTGATGATTCTTCTTTTATTTGCATAAACATGCAGTAAAGTGGTGTAATGTATGATGGAAAATAAAACTACAGTACTGTACAGTACAATCAGCAAAAATTACAGTCCTGTATAAACAAGGTGTCCTCTACCAAAAAGACACTGAGGCTCTGCGGCAGGGTGCTTAGAACTGTACACAAGGAAAAAAGATGCGTCTTATGTCCAAATGGCAGGTCAGAAGGCTGAGTAGCATACCTCGGTCATTAAGGGCAAATAGCCATTTACCAGGCAGGCTGTTAAATGGGGAATACGAGTCTATCTGTCTGTTTTTGTTACTGTGGCTTTGTAATATAACTTGATAACTGGCATTGTGGTGTCTCTGGCGTTGCACTTTTTGCTCAGAATTGCTTTGGCTATTCTGCGTCTTCTTCTAATTCCATGTGAATTTTAGGATGGGTGTTTTCTAGTTCTGTGACAAATGGTGCTGGCATTTTAGTAGCAATCACATTGGATCTGCGACTCGCTTTTGTTAATATGGCTATCTTCACAAAGTTAATTATTCTGGCCCATGCACAAAGGTCTTTCCATTTTCTAATGTCTTCAATATCCTTCTTCAGTGTCCTATAATTTTCACTGTAGAGGTCTTATACCTACTTGGTTAGGTTGATTCCTAGATATTTAATTTATTTTTAAAGTGATTGTGAATGGAATTGTTTTCCTAATTTCTCAGTGGGTTCATTATTGCTGTCAAGAACTCTTATGACTTTTATGCTTCTTTTTTTGGAGGCAAAATAAAATATGATGGCAAAGAAAAGTTGGGCTGGGGAATTAGCTCAGTGGCATAAGTACCTGGCAAGCGCGAGGTTGTGAGTTCAATCTCCGGTACCAAAAAAAAAAAAAAAAAAAAAAAAAAACCAAAACAAAACAAGAAAAGTTATACTCTGACTTAAAGCAGCTCATACGGCTCATACGGCTCTTCATTAGATATTTGGTCATGTTCTCTGACTCTGATACTGAAGACTGGTAGGAAAATTGTCAGTTTGATTCCCTGTTATATAATAGGACCTTTTATTTTTATTTTTTTACTTTAGCAGTTTTTAGTATTACTTGTTTTATATAAGTAACCCTAATTCCATGAACTGCTTAAAATTCCACGGAATTGTATTCCAATGACTTTATAAGAATTTCATGAGTCCATATTGGTCCAAAAAAAAGACATGGTTTCTCCTGAGTGTCTTTGTGTATTTGTTTACAAAAACCGTTAGAGAATTTAGTGAAGAGGTTCTCAGGAGAAACTTGAGAGCCTTGTTTAACACTTCCTGTTTACCAAATAAATCTTGGTATTTTCCTCTGTGTCAAAGACAGTTTGTAAACATTTTTTTCTTCTCTAATGGGTTTGTTCAAATAACATCCTCTGTGGAATTATAATCCAATAAACAAGTGTGGTCAGAAGTGCTTTTGGTACCATTCTAGTGGGCAGTTCCCCGAGGGGATGTGGAAGCTCCCCTGGCTCACTCTTTCCCACCAGACTCGGGGCTTCTCAGGCCCTGAAAGTCGCCAGTGAGGGCGAGGTGTTTTTCCCGTGTGTCCTGCGGTAGTGTAATATTTTGTGATGGATGCAGCCCTATCCATTTGACTGGAAGTGCTGTTAATGTCACGTGATTACTACAATAGCACTTTGATTCTTGATTTTACCACCTGCTAGCTTGTGACTCTGATGAAATACTCTCTTTGATAGTTTCCTACTTTGTATAAAATGAGGACAGTATTACCTGCCTTTTAGGGCTGTCATAAGAATTACATTAGTCACAGTATATAGCATACTTAGTATAATATGTAGCAAATAGTAGCATTTTAAGTGTCTTCTGGGGTTTATTTGGTACAGTTTTATAGTAACACTTTGTGTAGCAAAAGCACCCATATAACACACAATTTACTATCTTAATACTTACAAATAGTAGCTAATACTTGGAGGCCTTTTATTTATTTGGTACAATTTTATGGTACAATTTTTGTAGCAAAAATAACTACGTGACATAAAATGTAGCACCTCAACTATTACAAGTGTCTGTTCAGCTGTCTATTCATATCCTGTGTAGCAGAACTAGACCAATGCAAGTCACTTCTACTTCTAGTTGTGGTCTTTGTTTTTTAGTAAATCTGAATTTCATACTTGTTTTTAATCAGTTTTTTTAAAAGCAGGATGTATTTGCTTTGCACTTAAATATACAGTATTGAATATTGGTTCAAATCCCAAGTTATAAAAATTTTTGTCCTATGTTTAGCTATTGTGGTATATAGTTAAATTTCAAATTGCCTTATTTTAAATCATTATCAGTGTAACAAGTATCTTTGTGTTTACAGTATTTTTTACATAAAAATAGACTTTTTTTGGTATCTCAAAGCTAACCCATCTGGCCCTTATATCAACAACAACAAGCTTTGGGTTTAACTGTTAACAGGAGGGGAGAGGCTGGGCATGCTGGCTTATACCTGCAGTCCCAGGCCTTCAGGAGGCTCAGGCAGAAGGGTCACAAGTTCAAGCCCAACCAGGCTGACTTAGCCACCTAGTGAGACCTGACTGGAAATAAAGACAACGGGAGCTCAGTGCAGAGGCCTGGGCTCAGTCCCAGGGTTGGGAGTGGGGTGGTCAGGGAGTGTAGCTCAGTGCAGAGTGCGAGGCCCTGGTTTCAGTGGCAGGCATGAGTAACGGCAGCAACAACAGAGCGAGAAAACCCTAAAACTCTGAAGCTAGGATTTCATTTGAAACAGGAGCCAAGGAGTAGGCACAGCTGTTGTGCTCACTGGATGGTGTGTAACTGTTTTCTCTCCACCTTTGCTAAATTTTACTTAAGCACATGAGAAGATGAGGCGAGCTGTGTGTCACAACAGTGTTGTCTGGAAGCAGTGTATGGTGTTGATGTGGCCAGACTTGCCAACATGAATGAGAAAGCATTGCGGCTCCTAGATTGCTGCGTGGAAACTTCGCGGGCAGGCTCCCTCGGCCCCTTCAGAGGCGCATATGGGTGGGTGTGTTCTAGTAACCAGGTTGGGTGCTCCATCCACAGCCGTGCACCTGTCTGTCCTTGCAGTATGACTGGTAGTCTGTGAGATGCAGCTGCCGCATGTGCCGAAACACAGTGTTAAAGAAAGAGGACTGAGTACATCACCACTCACTTATGGTGTTCACATCTGACTCTTGTGAGTTGGCTAAGTAGCTGTGTGTGTTACCTGGAGCTCTTTACACATGTCCCATGGTGTAGAAACCAGAACTCATGACCTGTCTGCCTGCTTTGACCTCAGGAAATGAATACTCTGTTGAATGTTTTTAGAGTATAGTAAAAAAACACAGAAGCTGGCCGCTATTCTTTTCCTGGCTTCCAGTACCCCTTCCCCATATACATTCATATAAATAGAGATAATAAATGAATCCCTCCTGTAGCACAGTTGAGCTGTGTATGTGTGTGCATGTGTGTGGGCGTGTGTGTGTGCAGGGAGAGTGGGGATTGAACCCAGGACCTTGCACTGAGCTCTGTCCCCAGCTCTTTTATTTTAGAATAGGTTCTTGGTAAGGTTTCCAGGCTGCCCTTGAACTTGCTTCAGCCTTTGCAGTAGGCAGCATTCAGGGTACAGGGTTACCCAGCTGTGAGCAGTTCTCTGTAAGCAGGAGTTCGCACACCTAAGTGCTCAGTTTCCCAATTGTAGCAAGAATCAGACGATGCAACTTTTTTTCTCAGCAGTTTCGGCTGCCTTTTGAAGTTGAAATGTTCTCAGTTCCCTGATCATTCCTGTGTGCAAAGAAGGCCGGTCTCTGATGATGTAGAATACCGTCTACATCAGGTGGAACTCCGGGTGCCTGGCGCTTGTGGTAGCTGCCGGCTGTGTTTATCATGGCAGTGGTGAACGCTGACCTTTCCACCTTTGCTGTTGTGGGCAGCCAAAGATACTGTGTGCACACATACTGGGTTACACAGCCAGGTCTCAGAGGCTTTTATTTGGTACTGAGGATCAAACTCATGACTTCACACTGGCCAGGCAGGAGCTCATGCCGCTGAGCTAAATCCCAGGCCTGACAGCCACGGCTCTGTATTTACGAGCTTAGTGGAGAAAGTTCGTGACTTACTGACAGACAGAACAATAACTTCGGTTAGGTGTTTTTGTTGAATAGTGAACTGTGTGTCCAGCTTACTCTGGAGTGAGTCGCTGGCCTGTCCTGCTGTGAGCCCTTCACTGAGAGCTGGGTTGTGTGCAGACTCTGACCACCCCAGAGCCATGCTGTTGGGCCTTCTCCCTACTCCTGGAGAGTGTCTTCATGATTACTGCAGTTTGACTTATGCTAATTGGGAGAGGTACCCCCCACCCCGCTTTTGTCCAGCTGCAGAAACATGTTCTGTCTTTCTGTTCCTCACAGTCATGGGTTATCCTGGTTTGTCACCCAGAATCGTCCAGATAAATGTATGCCCCCTGGGGGACTGTGGTTATTACCCCGGCTTGTGCATAAGCATCTACGAGTTGACAGCTGGCAGAGAGCTCTGGGGAGGGCGGTCACACTGAAGCAGTTTCTGCATGTGTGCACTGTGTAATAGCTGAAATTATTTTCCGTCCTGTTCTGTGCCAGGTGGAACAGGCACTGTTCCCTGCCTGTAGGATACAGTATCTTTCCCAATGTTCCCTGCAGCTCTGTGAGGAGGGCATCATTGTGTCCTCCATTGGACCGCTGAGGACACTGAGGCAGGAAGGTCACATGACTGAGCTGCTGCTGCACAGCTGGGATAGGACCCGAGTCCTGCAGTCTCACTGCTGTCGGGCTGTCTCTGGCTGTTTTATAGTTACTGAGCGGCGCTGAGTATGAACAGTGTACTTCATTTCTATAGCTAGTAATGAATCAGCTATATAAGTAGCCAAAAACTCCTTGTACCCTGATCCCCAGGCATTCTGGGGCCTTTTGTTAAAAAATAGCTTTATTAAATTGTGCCAAGAAGTTACTTCATGTTTGTTGTAGAGTAAGTATGCACAGTTTGGGTTAGTTTCTTCATTCAGAGAGCACGTGTTGCGTGTGCGTTATGTGTGGATGTCTTGTTAATGCCACGAGCTTGGAACTTCGCTTCAGTGAGACCGTCACTGTACCACGCCAAGCTACAGTGTACCCAGTGTACAGGGGACCCACTGGCGTTATCAGGCCACTCGACCAGTGAGAAGGTGCTTCCAGTTGTGGTGTGCTCTGTTCTGTTTCTGCCCCAGGCGCTGTCTACCCTGGACTCCATCACGCTGATGTACCCCTTCTTCTACCGGCCCATGTTTGAGGTGATAGAGGATGGCTGGCACTCCTTCCTTCCTGAGCAGGAGTTTGAACTCTGTTCTTCTGCTGTGAGTAACGTTTGAGCTCTGTGGGCTCCCAGCTCTGTAGCTCCGATCGTCACTCACGGGAATGAGAGTAGCCCAACACTAGATATTTCCTGGGAAAATGATGGCTGCCTTTGATTTACCTGTGCCCTAAGGAGTCTGTATTACCTGTGAGTGCTGCAGCTGAAATGCTTTTTATTCTGTTAGCCTAATATATGCCAAATAGTACCTTTTAAACTTTGGAAATTATATTGGCCAAACATTAGGATCTGCATAAAGATAAGTCCCAGAAAACTGCATGTTAATTATTGGTTACTGTTTAAATGTCTCCTTACAAACCGTAATCATGGCTAAACTTGATATATTTGCCTTGGCAAGCAGAGGACTTCAGGGAAATGACTGTCAAATATTTAACACAGTGTTCTGTGACACAAGGAACTGAGGCCTTGTTGTCTGAAATCATGATAAAAAACTGATCAAGGAAGATGCAGAATAGCAGGTTTTGCTCAGCGTAAGGAGGAACTTTCTAGAAACCATGATCCCTAGCAGGGTGGGAAGCTGCCTCCAAGAGTGGGGCTTCATGTCTCTGGAGGTATGAGGTGTGTGGGGTGCAGACCCTTTAGTTAGATTCTGGAGAAATGGCTTCTTTATTTATGAAGTGTCCTCTCAGGGCCCCTAAACCTTTTCAGGTTATTTTGTGGCACTGAGATACTTGCTTAGCTTTGAAGTGTGTCGTGTTTTCCAGACCAATGAATGGAGGCTAAGCTATGTCAATAAGGACTTTGCTGTCTGTCCTTCGTACCCACCAGCTGTCATAGTGCCCAAGTCTGTCGACGACGAAGCTCTTCGGAAGATAGCCGCCTTTCGGCATGGAGGGCGCTTCCCAGTGCTAAGCTATTTTCACACAAAAAACGCAATGGTGAGTGTGCACAACTACGACCGAGCTTCCAGGAGCACACGGGGGGGGGGGGGAGTGTCTTTGAGGAACGTCCCCCTTTACGTGTTCCCTGAACTGAGTGCCCAGGTCTCCTCCAGGATTGCCTTCATGGAGACTCCAGGAAGTGAGGGGAGGCCGTTTTCCCTGTTGAGAACATGGCCAGATCCTGTCCATCGCTGTTTAACCTTAGCCGAGTCCAGGCAGATTTGCTTTCAGGGTGCAGTACAAAGAAAACTAGTGAGGATTTGATGACTTCACCAACACTATGAAGGCAGAAAAATGAGAAATGTCTCTGCCCAGGCTAAGGGCAAGGTACTTTAACCATCCTCACCAGATTCCCACAGGGCAGTCTTGGGAGCAGGCGTTTTTATTTTCAAGAGAGGAGAATGGTACTGTCATTTGCTCACAGCTCAGCAAACTTGGAAATCGGGACTAGACTAAGCAAGGGCTTTGGGGTATTAGTTTTCTGAATGGTTTCTAAGTGCTTTCCTGTCCCATTTTCTCCTAGTCAGTAAATTCTGCCTCTCATTTTGAGACCAATAATAAATTCATGGCTAATTATAGCTATCTTGCATTTTCCTTTCCCCTGGTACTATGCAAAAAGGGGATATAGGATGTAAACATATTTTTTAAAATTTGCTGCTTTGAAATAACTAAGCCATTCACCAGGGATGACATTAGTATGATAGACACTGATTTCTTGAGACAAGTTTTGAAAGCCAGCCTTTTAAAATGTGTAGCTGGTGGTCTCTGGAGATAAGTGGTTAAGTCCTGGAATACAGAAAAGGATGGCAGGGGTCACTCACTAGAGAATCAGTACTAGATAAGCAGGTGTCCAGAAAAATTACTCCCAGCTAACCTTTTAATTTGTGCTTGGGATTCTATGCATATGTAGTTGAAGTCGAAGGGAAGTGTTATACTTTTTCCTGAGGGTTCAGTGATGTTAGTCTGTCAAATATTAAAAGGAGAAGCTAGAAATTTTGCCATGTACCTGTTCACAGGAGTGTGAGGCTCCCGGAGTAACAGGATGATTGAACTTTAGCTGGAACTTAGCAAGAAAAGCCACAGGCTTTGGTGGAGGAGACAGCCCAGACTTTTGACACAGGATCTCACTGAATTGTCCAGACTCACCTTGTCGTGCTCTTGCCTTGGCCCCATGTAGCTAAGATTTGGGTGTCTGCCATCATGCTTAGCCAACAGGACAGCTTTTCAGAGCCGTTCTGTAGTCTGCATTGGTTTGGAATGAAGTGGTTTACTCTCCCACACGATCCTGGGCCAGGGCTACCAGGTGGCTCATCTATAGACCAGCTGAATTTGACACTTCGCCCTAAAGAGAGGTTATAATTTCTTTTATGAAAAATACTTTAAGGGAGCAAGATGAAAAATTGTGGAAAAGTGCAAGGCTTCTCTTTGCTTTATAGTTATTGTCGCTGCGTGTAAACATTTGTTTTTGTGATCAAATCCATTCCAGATCGCCACATGGTGGTTTTCAGGATACCGTCCTCCCCTTTTTGCTTTCAGACCAGTGAATTGTGGGAACCTTGTGCTTCTAGGTGATTATGCGGAGTGGCCAGCCGCTCACGGGCACTAACGGGAGAAGGTGTAAGGAGGATGAGAAGCTGATCAACGCCACACTCAGGGTGGGCAAGCGGGGCTATATCATCGACACCCGCTCCCTGAATGTGGCCCAGCAAGCCAGAGCCAAAGGAGGCGGCTTTGAGCAGGAAGCTCATTATCCCCAGTGGCGGCGTATTCATAAATCCAATGAGAGGTGAGGTTCCCAGAGGGAGGAGGCTCCTGTTGGAAACACTGCAGTGCGTGAGCACATAGGGTTCAAAAGTCACAGCTGCTCAAGTGAAACCTGCAGATTAATTTGGGGTCAATAATTGGTTGGATAACTCTTCTTATTGTGTTTTGTTTTCGTGCAGGTATATTAAGGCTTTTTTTTTTAAGACAAGGTCTCACTATGTAGTTTAGGCTAGCTTTGAACTCACTATGTAACCCAGGCTGGCCTCGAACGCACAGGTGATCCTCCTGCCTCAGCCTCCCTAGTGCTGGGATCACAAGTGTGCACCACCATGCCCGTCCTCAGCAGTTTTCAAGTACATGGTCCATTATGACTAGCTGTGGGCACCCTGTTGTCGAGTAGGTCTCCAGAACCTATACCTCCTGAGTGACTGCAAATTTGCGTCCTTGGCTAAATGTTTGCCTATTTTGATTATCTTTTTAAAAGATTACTCTCATTATATCTTATTTGGTAAGCAAAAAAACAAAACAACAACAAAAAAACCAAAACCGAAACTTCTCTTGGACAATGGGCTTGGGTTTTAGTAAGTAAATAGCTGTCCTCTGTTCTCTGACCCTCAGATCCATCACCAGCAGGTCTTCTCCTCTACGTGTAGATGGGGGAGGGGGTGCCAAACAGAGGCAATAGATTTGCTGCGTATAATCTTCCTAAGTTAAAAGAACTCCAGGATTTCATTTCTCTCCAATTTCTCATCCTGTTTGCTTCACCTAAATAATGTCTGATTCCACTTTCAATGAAAGCTGTAGGGTGTGGGAGGCAAAGCTGAAGAGAATGTCCCTGCAGAGGGCCCAGGGTCTCGCTGTGCTGTGCCGTGCCGGAGTGCAGCGAGGGCGGGGCTGCGGTGTCTGGGCTGGGCCCCGCTGCGGCGGAAAGAACCCCTGACCATGACTGCACCTGAGGCGTCTTGGCCTAGCACTTACTCGCTTTTCAGTGGTAAATCTTCAGCTGACTGAGGAATAATACGGTATTATGAACTGCTGTTGCCCGTGGATATTTTGGAGCCTGGGTTTATCATTCTTTTTCATGTTTTAGTTATATTTTGCTTTCCCTTTCTTGTCTTTAAAAGATACCACGTTCTTCAGGAGAGCTTAGTCAAACTCGTGGAAGCCTGTAATGACCAAACGCACAACATGGACCGGTGGCTTGGCAAGCTGGAAGCCTCCAACTGGCTGAGCCACATCAAGGAGATCCTGACCACCGCCTGCCTGGCAGCGCAGTGCATCGACAGGTGCGCACTGTCTCTGGGCTGCGTCTGTCAGACAGGTGTCACCATCTGTGCTCACTGTGCGACTTCCATTCAGGTCATTTCAAAAATTACTGTGTGAGGGAAAACCATTCAGTTATTGAGGGATAGTCATAGAGCCTGGCATTAATATGTAATTAATATTTGCTGCATGTATGAACCAGCTATAATACATATCTTCTATGACACAAATTTTTAGTTACTAAAGGACCTGTTTCTTCCTGTAAAATGCTTAAATTCACCAATTTTCCATTTTTTAATGCTATAAACCAGAATCAGAGGAATTTTTTTATTTCTTCTCAGACAGCCAAACTTGCCTCCATGCTCTCGCTCTGTGGAAAGGAGATGTGGTTTTGTCACACAGCAACAAGGTCTTTTCTCTCTCAGACATCTTACTCCAGTCTACTTGCCATGCATAGTCACACTGCATCTCAAGTTGAGAACTCGAGAAAGTATCAGTGTGATGTGTGGAGTGGTTTTCGTTTGTTCACTCAGTTGAAGGTTGCTGGCCTTGAGACTTGGGGCGGAAGACTTGAACAGAGGCAGGGGCCTGGAAGAAATTATTGCAGAGGCTTAGAACGCCCCCCCCCCCTTTTTTTTTTATCGGTATCGGGGATCGAACTCACGACTGCCTGCTTGCAAGGCAGGCGCTTATGCCGCTGAGCTAAACCCCCAGCCCCTAGAACGCCCTTTTTAAGCAGGGGATTTCCACTGAAGCCATCAGTGGGTATAAGTACTGGCACCACCTAGCGGGGTGGCACTTTTCTTTGAGACTAACTTATTTTATTGGCGCTTCCCAGTAAGGAAGGCGTGTGAGGTGTATCACGGTCATGTTTACCTTCTTGTGGTAAGTCAGCCCTGCCCAGAGAACAACTGGAGACCCTTGGGGTCCATGTCGCCAAGCTGTCACTGTGGTTTAGGGTTAGGTAAAGCTCTTGTACCCAGTGAAACATGGAAAATAAAGGATGGGGGATCAATAATGCAGAACTATGAGTTACTATTGAGGGCTTTGTGTCTACAACCTTAGTCTCCCATAGTCCTTCCTCTGTTGTGAGAGGTTTTTGTTTCCCTGTGAGACATGAATTGTAAGTAACCTTTGTCGGGGGCTGGGGATTTAGCTCAGTGCCTGGGGATTTAGCTCAGTGGCATAAGCGCCTGCCTTGCAAGCAGACAGTTGTGAGTTTGATCCCCAGTACCGATAAAAAAAAAAAGGAAAAAGACAAAAGAAAAAGAAACCTTTGTCATCACCTGACCTGCTTTTTCAGCTGTGATGAGATGACAAAGGTCAGGGCAACTCTGGCTGCTGACGAGTGCATCTCTCCTCTTGTCGGGTTTGGGGTGCCACCTTAGCACTCTAGGCCCTGGGTGTGTGTCCCCATGTCTGGGCTCTCTTTTCTGATACACATCAGCTTACTTTTTACACCTCTGTCAAATTTTGGCCTAATAATTAATTGCTGAAAATGTAAAAATAGACCTTAAATTGATTGAATTAAATTCAGAATAAGCCATATATAGGAAAGTTAATGTATTTGCTCATTCTCTTTAGTGCAGGCAGTAGATTTTGTCTTAAAAATGGAATTACTAGCCTACTGTGGGTGAACTTCAAGGATTCTGTTATTTTCAAATTAATAACTCCCAGGTAATTCAGCAGAAGACAGAAAGCTAGTTAGGTACATCATTTACTTTGTAACAAAAATTGGTTTCCCCTTATCCTAAATAGCCAATTACAGAGTTAAGTAAATTACAGTTCATCACTTAATAGAATAATATATAGTCATTAATAACAGGAAATTGCTTTTCTAACTCTTCATGGGAAAGGAATTGGCCATGGTTATCAAACGTGAAATTTCCCTTTTCCTAAAATGTCTACACTGTTTTTTCAGTAAACAGGGTAGAAAACTCAATGGTGAGCACAGGTGATTTTTGTTGGTGTCTTCTTCTGTTCTTTTTAGAATAGTGGGGTCCCAGGCACTCCTAAGTCTGAAAGCACAGGGACGTCATTGCCTCTGGCTTTCTAGATTGACTGTCCTTGGGTTTTTGGTTCTGCTTTGTTTTGTTTCTGTTCCCATGTTTCTAAAAGTGTGCTTTAGGGCTCTTTCTGAGATCCATTACAGTTTGTGAAGGCGTCCTTTTAGTAACCCAATGGATAGGCAAAATTGAATGTCAGAAAAAATAATTTTAGTATATGTTTATAGGTTTAGTGAGAAAAAGCTTTACTCAGCTATTAAAACAGAAAAGTGCCTTCTCTGACAGGAACTGCTTTTGACTGATTTTTCAAGGGTTAGAACATTTAGCAGAAAAGTGCCATAACATTTGTTATAACTGAGACTTTTACCATGTGAATTGTGAAACTCACTGTAGTCTTCCCTTCTCCCCAGATAACCTCTCCTCTACCCATTGCCTCATTTAGACTGTAGCCCCTTCCCAGCAGGATAGATGCATGACATGGAAGTGTCATACACGTAGGTGTATGCCATTACCGGAGCTCCCGACCATGTCAGGCTGCCCATCTGTGCTCTGGATTTTCCCTCCAGGGAAGGTGCATCCGTGCTGGTCCATGGGACAGAAGGAACCGACTCCACACTGCAGGTGACCTCCCTGGCCCAGATCATCTTGGAACCGAGGAGCAGGACCATCCGGGGCTTTGAGGCACTGATAGAAAGGGAGTGGCTCCAGGTGAGCAGGGCTGCAGGCGGGGCGAGGCACTGCCAGCCACCGGTGCTGCGCCGTGCTGGTTTGGGGCAGGGGTACAATGTGTGATGGGTGGGAAATTTTACATTGTACGTTTAACTATCTGTGGGCCAGTGAATCTCTCTTCCCCTCATTAAGTGTTTATGATCTTCACTACCCTCTCAGGTCTAGGTCTCTCTTTGCTTACATTGTTTACTTGGCACCTTGTTCATGTAAAAGCCTCCAGTTAGCTGTACAGGCTGAGCCTCCTTACTCTGCAAATGCAGAACGTGCTAAACTCTGAACCTTCTGTCTTTATGTCCCATGGTACAGTTGTGTGCAGATCTACGAAAAGTATTGGTGCAAAAATCACCTCCAAACGTGGGGGTAAGGTGTGTGCAAAACACAGCACTCCAAGTGCTGTGAAGTATTTGCTCACATGCTCTAGCCAGCCCCCCATTATGTAAACTGTCTTTTTTGTCTATTAATTATTCCTTTTGCTGTATGGAAGCTTTTAATTTGATGTGTAGGCTTGGGTCTCTTCCCCAAGATACCTCTTTATGTCTGTGAGCATATTCCAAGATACTAAAAATATCTGAAATCCATAATACTTCTGGGATACAAAAGGATTTTAGACAAGGAATACAAAGAATGTAAAACAGAGTGTGGTCTCCAGGAAACTTAGTCTTGGTAGACATAAGGTACGAAAGGGCTGGTTGAGTAGGGGCCGTGATCACATAGCAGGTGCGTTAGTGCTTTCTGGCTTTCGGTCTCCTTGCGCTGTCCTCTCCTCTCCCCTCCCAGGTGAAATCCTTGCCATCCCTTAAGGTTCAGCAAAATGTCATTGCTTGCATAAAGTCTTTGAGAGCTTGTTTTCTGAACTGACGCCCCCTCCCCCATCAGAGAAGCGTGCCAGGTGCCCTATTGATCTGTTCCTCCCAGGGTACATGGCACAATGTTGGGCAACTACTAAAATGAACACGGATTGAAACCTGCCAAGTCACAGATCAACTTACAGATGTATTTGCGCTTTGTAACTTGGTAAATAATTGTAATTGAAAACAAATGCTTAGACATACACTGAAAGCAGTTATGTCTATGGCTGCTGAGGCCTCTCTGGCCTTTCCAGTTACGATGCGGATGTTCCTAGTGTTGGTGCTGTTAAACGCAACCTGTCTACCTTCTGTATTTGGTGAAAGTCTGTTCAACTGCATTTCTCCTGATCCATAGTAAACAAACGAGTGTGCTTTAAACTAATCACATATTCTATTTTAATCCGTATCCAGATCCATGTCCCAGCAGCCACTAGAAAGTTTTCATAGCACTGTCTTTGTCAGATAGAGTTGAATAAAGTCCCAAAGACAAAGCAAATAAGAGTGATTTGTGGTGAGGTCAATATTTGGGTACTGGGCAAAGAGGCCAACTCGGGTGGTAGATGGTAGTCTCCTGCAGTTTGGGAGGGGAAGAAGATCATTAAGGACAGCTTTATCTCTGATATAACAATACAGTTTGCTAAGATCTCCTCAAGACAATAGCTTTCCTACTTGTAACAAAGTGTTATTCCCAAACTGACTTCACACTTGGTCTGAGAGCGCTGTGCTCATCTCTGTTCAGTGACAAGGGTTACGTAGTTCTCAGCACAACTGGCATTTCTGATAAAAAGAGGTGACTGTTGTCCTTCATTTTATATGCAAGAGCTTACTTCTTTGACCCTACTTCAAAGTCCACAGCTCTCCAAGAGTTCAGTTTTACCTACTTCCGTCTAGTAGATCTGCTACCCCAAGTGCAAGTGCGGTTCCCAGGGCACATATGCACCACACAGCCTTATCCAGTGTTTGGAAAGTGTCTTTCCCTTGGTGGCTGCAGTTACTCATTTTAAATGAAGAAGTAATGCACCCAGACAGGAGCCGCCCGGCCCTGTGATGGGCTGCAGCTGATACCCTTTCGCCTGATACGTGGGGTGGTGTTAGGAGAGGGTGCAGTCCCGTGATCTCTGAGGGCCACAACAGTCACATTCCCGCCTCCCCCCAGGCGGGTCACCCGTTCCAGCAGCGCTGCGCACAGTCAGCCTACTGCAGCAGCAAGCAGAAGTGGGAGGCGCCGGTGTTTCTGCTCTTCCTGGACTGCGTGTGGCAGATACTTCGTCAGTTCCCCTGCTCTTTTGAATTCAATGAGCATTTCCTCATCGTGCTCTTCGAGCATGCATACGCCTCACAATTTGGAACATTTCTGGGCAACAATGAAAGCGAAAGGTGGGTATGCTGCTCCTGTGGGGACATTTTATTAACTCTAGTGACTCCCTAAAAGGGACCAGGTATAGGTCTGTATTAATGTCACTTATGAGAAGGTGGAAGCCGTAGTCAAGCATAAACTGAATTACATGAACTATAGTGTTAAATTTAGCCACGGGTTTTCTGCATCTGTCGAAATGATGGGCAGAGATCATTTACTGACTTTGCTGGGAGGAAGCCATCATGATCGTGATGTGTGTCAGAGCCTGAAGCTGGCACACCTGAGTGTGACTGTCACAGCACCTGGAACAAGGGAAGAGAAATAGTGACCGCCCTTCAGTCAGCTTCCAGCGCTCAAACAAATACAGCAGTGTCTCACTTAACGAATCTAATGTGCCTTACAGTTTTGGAGAAGAGGTCTGCATTTGTTTGTGTGGGGAAGATGGCTGTGGTGGTTTGTTAACAGTGCGGAGTTTGCAAAGGGAAGTAAAATGCTGTGGAATGCTTTTGTTTGCAAACCGAATCTTTGCAGACAGGCACTGGAGTTTGACAGCAATTCACTAGGAAAAGCTTACTTTGCCTTCTGGTTTCCAGGGTGGGTCCTTGACTGGTTGGTGCACCTGTTGCTTTCCCTTGTCTGTTGGGTGTGCGCTGACAGTGGTGGGGAGTGGGCGCTGGCACAAACAGTCACCCCATGAGGAGGAGGAAAAGATGATGCAAGTGGGGCCGGGACGCAGCTTAAAAATCAGTGATTTTAGGGAAAAAAAAAAAAACAAAAAACTGGCCTCAAGAAAACTTCAGCTTAAACCATGTCCTGTGAGAATTTAATGTGTTCTTTTTTTGGTTAATGTAAGCAAGCTGTCTTGTTTATTAAAATTTATTCTTTTTCTAAGACCTGCCAGTCCACTTGCCTTCCACACCAAGAATTTTACAGTTCAGTGTCAGGTTTACAATGAACACTGTTCGTTACGGTGGGATGCGGATTAAATTTGTCTTTACACTGAGATTTGCTTTATTTTTAATTTTTGACAGTTTGTCTATTATATGTATGGCATTTATTTTATCTAAAAGCTAAAAAGTTCTCTAAAAAAGTTAAGTTTTGTTTGAGATTTGATCAACTTCCATTTTTAATAGGATGCATATAATTTTCGTGACTATCCACTCAGCATCTTGGAAATGCGTTAGCAAGCTTTTTCTAGTCAGCTATTTTAAATCAAGCTGCATCCCCGGATACGGCGAAGGCCTGTTGTATATGCTGTAGATCTGTGACGGGAAACCTTGGAGAGCTTTCAGTGACACAGCCCCCGCCCTTGATTCAGGTTTATCACCTGTGAGAGTCTTTGTTTCAAATTACAACGCTGTGTTTAGCCACACAGAGAAAAGTAGTTCCCCTACCCAAGGGAGCTTCATCGAGGGGAGCTGATGAGCAGATGCTGTGAATCAGCCCTTTCATGGCCATTTTCTTTCTCAATCAGATGCAAGCTGAAGCTGCAGCAGAAGACAATGTCTCTGTGGTCGTGGGTCAATCGGCCCAGTGAGCTGAGCCAGTTCACCAACCCTCTCTTCGAAGCCAACAACCTGGTCATCTGGCCTTCCGTTGCCCCGCAGAGCCTGCAGCTGTGGGAAGGTATCAGCGGCCCAAGGAACTCTCCCACTCGTGTGCTGCCCACACATGCACTCTGCTGGCCTTTGCAGGTGGCCAGCAGGATGTGACCCCAGATCCATGCGCAGTGGCCCCACCTCCCAGGGCAGGCCTGCTCTCTTCTGCAGGTTCTTACCTGGTCCTGCTCTTTTCTGACCTCACTGGGAAAATTAATGATGATCTAAGACACCATGCTTTATGTTATTCTATTCTATTTTTCCTAGATAGAGTACTTTCTCTTTTTTATTTTTATTTTTTGGCACGCTGGGGATGGTACCCAGGGTCTTCGCACTGAACTACCTTCCCAGCCCTTCGTTTATGCGGAAGGGATCCAGGCCTCCCTCTGACCGAGTTGCCCACTCTGGACTCAAATTTAGGATTCTCCTGCCTCAGGCTTCTAGTGTGCTGGGATCTCATGCCCTGTTGGTGTTATTTTTTGCGTAAGAGTTTTGGTGGGTAGTTGAGATGTAAATAAATTATAAGCTCCTGGGAGAGGGTTTCTGTTTTCCTTTATGAAGCTGTCATTGGGATAGGTTCCCCTGTGAAATGCTATCAGATGCTTACATGGCCAGTCATTCCACACGGGTCTAGAAGCAGTTGCAAAGTATCACTGGTTTCAGCTCTCTCATTGTTTGTATGGAATAACCAATATAGAATCTTCAAGTTATTCCAAAGTACATTTTTTTAAATGCTTATTTCTCAGACTCCTGAAGCTTATCCTAAGTAGCAAAGCTTGTTTAAAAATAAAGTTACCTGTGGGACATGGTGGCACACACATAACCCCACCACTAAGGAGCCTGAGGCAGGAGGATTGCCATCAGTTAGAAGCCAGCCTATGCTATCTGGTGAATGAAAGGCCAGCCTGAATGGCAAAGCAAGACCCTGTTTTAAAAAAAAAAAAATAGTTACCAAAGTTTTAAAAATAGTAGCTTTTCTTTAGACAAAGACTGTAAAATATAATTTAGTTTCTGTGCAGTCATTTTGAAGACTGTGAGTACATCTTTATTCCTTTCTGTGTCAAGCCACATAAAGTATGGATAAAAGTGAGGGAGCTATTTGATAAATCGGGTGACTTGCCATAAATGTGAACCGTGAAATGTGGCACAGTCTGCTCCCCAGGGCAGCTCACAAGGAGTGTGCTCTGCCCTCCCTTAAGAGGCCCTTGGGTTCTTCGCTCTGTGGGTCTGTTTCTGCCCCTTCTCTGGTGTGATCCGAGGGGAGAGAAGGGAAGTGGGGGAGTGTGACACACAGAATTCCACCTTCCCTCTAACAAAGCACTGGGCCTGAATGTGACTTTCTCCCTTCGGACTCACTAGGAATTTTCCTGCGGTGGAACAGATCCTCCAAGCACCTGGACGAGGCATATGAGGAGATGGTGAACATCATTGAGTATAACAAGAAGCTGCAGGCGAAGGTCAACATCTTGCGGAGGCAGCTGGCTGAGCTTGAGACGGAGGGCGGGCTGCAGGGGAGTCCCTGAGCTGCCCAGGACCTGCCCACCTCACCTCGAGCCTGCCCTTCCATTCCTCTGCACTCTGGAGCCTGGGGCAGGAGGCTTCACCTGGGACTCTGATATCATGGCTTTGCTGATACTGTAGAACAAAACTCACTCCAGTCACTCCTATTTCATGTGGCCTGCCAGGCAGCCCTGTGCTGTGGGAGCCGGAAGGAGGTGCCCGGCTTTGCTTTTCACTGGTGTCCATGACCTAGCTAGCCATTCGCCCGGCTGCCTCCACCTCCACCTCCACCTCCACCTCCAACCCGTATTCCAGCCCAGTCCAGGATACAAGACTCGTCAGGAAATAGCTGATGGTAAAAAAAAGGGTCAGGCTTTTAAGCATTCAGTGTAGAAATGTTTTCCAAAGCTGAGATGGTGGGTAACCAAGAACTTTGTGTCTAACCTGCCATTTCCATTACCTTCACTTGTTAAAGCAATCCGTCTCTGTAAAACAGTTTTAGGCCTAACAAAACTGAGTTCATTCTCATTCCGGCTTGTCAAGAAGGGAGAATTGAAATTCTACTCAACATGAATTCGTCCTACAAGGCTTGCACAGGTAGGGTTCTCTGATATTTACAGGGTTACATTTCTTCTAAGAGGAGACCAAAAAGGTATGTGCAGTATAGAATCAGAGTGAGGGTCTGTTACCCATGGAGAACTGGTACTGTTGGATTGGGTTGTCAGGTTTCGGGCCCTACATATAAAATGCCTATCAAATGTTGACTGTGAACCGAAACTTCACTTACATAGGTCTGTTAAGTTACACAGACAGTTTCCTTAAGCCTGAGCCGCGCTGCCCTGTCTGAAGTTCTTACTGCACTGGTTTATACCTGTCTGTGTGTCTATGTGTTTTACTTAATTTTTAAGTATTCAAAGAGTTTACTGATGCAAAGGTTAATATTGTTCTCGTTGGCTCGAGCAGCTTGCAGCTTCATCTGGGCTGCTTAACTGTCCGTTTTGTGTTAGGCAAATGTGATTTAACTGGAGCCTTTGAATATGGTGCAACCCTACTTGAAACCTCCAGGAGTTCCGGCAGTGTCTCAGTGTCACCAAGCAGCCTGGCTGCCGCTGTGACATGCCGGTTTGTTTACACCTGCTGTGTTCACTCCTGGCTCATTGTTCCTCTTCTCAACACACTGCTCCTTTCATCAGCACTGTCCATTCTGGCTTTCTCATTGAGGAATAGTGTTTAATTTAATTTCCACACCATCTGTGTACAACCACTGCAGTGTGGATCCCACCTCAGAACTTCTGTGTTGAGGCAAAAATACCGCTTTAAAAATTGACTCTGGCAAGATGGACAGCCACATCCAGAAGCCAGAGCACACAGCCAGTGCTTCATATCTCCGGTCACCGAGCCTTCCCTGGCCACCTCCTTCCTGAGACTGGTGGCAAAGCCCTGGCGACAACCAGTGGTCCAGATCCTTGGGCTGAGTTTCCCCGCCTTCTCACCAAGCTCACTTTTGTTCTTGGCTCATTTTCCTGGCTGCAGTTTTAAATCCTAGGACACAAATCCCTCACCAAAAGATGGAGGGAACCAGGGAGCACGGCCCTGCCTGGCTCTGCCTGTGTCCCTTGCTGCCTCCTTGGTGATGGCTCCTGGCAGCGGCTGGCAGTGTGGGCTTGTGTCGCTGACTTCTTTGTTTTCTCCAGGCCACACAGGAAGAAAGATACTTTTCTTATTTTGGGCCTGTAAGGAAAATCACCTGAGTTTCTCTTCCTTAGATCCTTCCAAGTGACACCCCCCCCCCCCCCCCCCGCCAGCCCTCCTGTGGACCGGGCTTGTGCGGTGGGCCCGCTTGGGTGCAGTGCGTCTGTGCTGTCTGTGCTGGTAAACACAGTGCTGTCCCCTGGTAAACAGTGAGCCAGGCGGTGCCGGCACAAGGTTCTAGTTCCTCTTTCTTTCCCTACAGAGACAGCATTCGTCACTGTTCCTGCAATCTTGCTTCTTAGTACTCACTTATAAGGAGGGGTCATCCAGGCTTCAGGTCTCCTTGCAGGTTGTAAAGACAAACTCTGGTCTCTGTGTGCTTTGAGCAGGGCCATTTCATAACGCAATCGGGGGAGAGCACACAAGCCAGGGTGATTTGAAGGTGTTTTAACAATACAATTCAATTACCCTGCCCTTGGGTGAGAAGAAGAAATAAATGGATATGCCCAAGAGAAGATTCTCGGCAAGCATTAGGTTTAGGGAGTTGCCTGTGATTAAAAACAAAATGTGGTTTTAAAAACTTCGAAGAAAGAAAAGGGAGCTGAATCAGGGAGCGAGCGAGTGCACTGCAGGGCTAGGAAGGACTGAGCTGGATGCGCTCGGACTTGGATGTGTCCGCCACGGCTGCCGTCTCTGTTCCAGTGGAGGGGGCCAAGTGGATACTGCAGTTGTAAAGTGGGGTCATAAAGAAGCCCCACGAAGACCATTTTAAACACACAGAGGACCGCTGTCGTCCTGTGTCATTAAGACAAGGGTTCTCAGGTTTAAATGAATAGTTTTTGAAAACCAGAACATAGCTAATGTTTTTGGTCTGAGACTTTTCAGTAATTATTTGGTCCAAATTATTAGGTTTGAAGAAAAGCAGAAATAATAAACTAATAGTTTACACTGAGCTATAAATGTATTTTATTTCTAAGAAAAACAAGGCTGCCGAAGTAAGATTTTTACAGTGATTTTTGGGCAACCTTAGGAGGACCATGACGGATATTTACTGAAAATCCCACAGAAAGGACTTTAAAACTTCTTTATAAAGAATTTAAAAGGGTTTGAACTTTGAGGCCTGACTTAGAAGTAGGATCTCATTTATTTTAAAAGATGTAGTGGAATTTGAGTCTTTCATTCAGCCAGCAATTGGTTTACATTTTTAAAAAAATCAATATCATGGGAAAGATTTGACCAGTAATTTAGTGTCTTGAGGTGAAAAATAGTAACATTTCGTTTCATTTTGAAAAATCTGCTTAAGTAAGCACAGCGGTTTTCTGGTATCAGAGAACTGCTGTGGCTGGTCCTGGGTCATCGGGAGCCTTTACTTTCATACCTCACTCTGAGGCAGAGGCTTTACTCCTTCCCCACACGCAGATGGAAGAGGTGAAAGCTGCATGAACATTCTTCATGAGAAAAAGTACTTCCTGGACAGCAGCTGGGCAGTGTTTAGAACTGTTCCCGTCCTGGGCCCCTGACCCTCCCCAGGGCTGAGGTCACAGGGCACATCCGGGACAGGTGTGCGCTACACCTGCCGCCACTTCCACTCACCGCTGCTATTCCTTTCCTCGAAGAAACCCCTTCCAGAGCTATTATTTTAAGTTATTGCCAAATAGTATTTTTGTGTTTTTCACGGTGAGAACAGAAAACATCGAAAGACTGACTTCTGTTTTATTTATTCTTAGATGATATGAAATGCTAATTTTTTATGTCAGTTTTCCAGTGTTTCGTTTCTTAAATAAAACTGTTTTTACCTTCACTGAATCTCTATGACCCCCTGTCAACAGTGTCTCCTTTTTTTAAACCAGTGGTCTCAGAGGAGTCCATGTGAAATTCCAGGACTGGGTTTGAAAAGTACTGAACTTGTTACCTAAGTTCTAAGAGACATAAGGCACGGTCTCTAAGCAGAGCATAGTTTATGTTCAGCTGAAGGTCGGCATTGGAGCTCCCTGTGGACCCCGCATCCTCCTGTCCTGACCGGAGCTCCCTGGCTGTGCAGCCACCTGCAGGTCTAGGGATGGAGCAGGGCTGTGCGGCACTGGCCCCGTGTGTCAGACCAGTCACTCGCCTCACTTTTAAACTGCGTGTGTCCTTGGTGAGGTGAGTTATTCTACATTATTCAGAACCCATGTAGGTCTGGTCCCATCTACACTAAAAATACTGTACTTGCACAACTTAGTTTATAGAAAACAGAATGGGTATCTCTACTATTCCGGTATGTGGGTTGCACTCTTGACATATTTGAATGTGACTCTTGGATTTAAGTGCACTATGAGTCTCGTCCTCCATGTAAAATTGCACTGTATGGCTCATGTGTCTGTAATGTATGCTTTGCTGAACCTCAGAGTGCTGTAAGGTTAGGGTTTTTATATTGTGAACCTAAGTATATATATATATATATATATATATATATATATGCGTGTTTATATATAGCATTAGGGAAATCCTGAACTTTTGCAAATCTGTGTAACCTTTTAATATTCTTTGTAATATTTACTAAGTGATGAGTTCACTTATGTCCTGTAATTGGGCTTGGTCACCTGGAATTGGCTGGTTTAACAAGCTGAGTGTGCGGAGTCAAGCAGCAGTCTCATCGAATGTGACACTGTTCTCAGTGTGTGACGCTTGTGTATGGTGTTCCCCCCCAGCCACACAGGACAACACGTTGCACAGATGCTAGTGTTAAATTTCTAGACAATGGTAATAAAATTTGAATATATTCAATGCTGATAAGTCTGTAGGCTGATTTTATTTTTTAGTATTTGCAAGAGTTTTGATGGCATTTCAGTTAAAACTGTTAGATATTTTTTACCATGTATTTTGGGAAAATTGAGAGCTACAAAAACGTTGCAACAGGAGTCAGGGATTTAGCTCAGCAGCACAATAGCTGCCTGCAGGTGTGAAGTCATAAGTTCTATCCCCGGCAACAAAAAACAAAAAAAACCCCTCAGTCTCCACCAAGAGCTGACACCCTCTCCTCTGGGTGTAGCTTCCCATGCAGTGAGTGGGATTCACTTATGGTCACAGGATAGGACAAACACATCAGCTGCCACGTGGTGATGGAAGACAGCATGGCAGTGATGATGGTCCTGGGACAGACCTGGGGTCCAGGTTCTCAACACCAGCAACTGACACTTAGTAGCAGGTGGACACTGGTAAGTAGAAGACCATTCCATGTACTGTTGCAGGAAAATTTCCAAGCCAAATCAAAGTGAAAGGAAGCCTCTTTGCACCAAGAAAATAAGGCAGCATTTAATCTTTACACCAGCGGACTGTTGGGGGATAATTCCACGAAGGCAACAGCCCTGAATTTAGAAGGAGTTTAGTTTATATGGAGTTCAGATGTGGGAGGTACAAAGCAAGTGACAAAACATTACATAATTAGTTACATGCATTGAGTCATTTTGACAGGCAGGCTAGTCTTGAACAGATTGGTTGAAACAAAGGAATTATATACAGAAAGAGGGAACAAGGAGAGGGAGGGGCCCTTACAGAGTGAGCATAGCTAAAGGTGTTCTTGAATTAGCCCAGGGTGCCTTAAGGTGTAGACAGTCGCTCTGACTCAGTGCTCATGGGAGCTTTGCAGCTGGCTATAGACATCGTCAAGGTCAATTGATTTCAGCAGAAGCAGCAGAACAGAAACTTGGCCAGAGACCTCTGATTAATCATGAAGTATCTGTAAGTTTGTTACTTTACAAAAGTGTTCTCACATTATAATTGTGTCCCAACACCACATTAAGCATATCCTACGCATCTGCCCACAAGGACACCCTGACTCCCCTGCGGAGGCTAGAGAACCAGTCTGCCAGGCACACAGGCATTAGGTTAGTTCGGAGCCTCGAAGGAACCGCTCTGCCCTTCTTAGCGCTGGGCCTTGCCTGGTGTAGCCAGGAGTTCTGTTTCAGCCTCTTTGCCATCCAATCAGGATTGAAATCCAGAGGAAGTGTTGGGCCCTGGACTGAGAGGTGCAGCACTGGTAACATTCACATCCGACCTCCCGAAGAGGGAGAGGAAATGGTGCGACCTGGCCCTCGAAACCCCCTGGCTTTCAGTCCCCGGAAGCCAACCCTCGTCCTGTCCTCGGGAATTTAGGAGACAGAGCTGTTTGCCTGCACCCTACTGTGCCTGCAGATACCTCGTGAATTCAGCAAGCGTGGGAGGGGCTGCTTTGTGGGGACCACACCACGAATGCCATCCCCAGCTCACGGCTCCAGACTCAACCGCGCGGAGCCCTAAGAGCACACTCACACCTGGTTGTCAGTCCTTCGGTAGCGCGTGCAGCCTGAGCATTAGACGGTCCAAAAACTCCCCAGGCGATCATTATGAGCCCAGAGTTTGAGAACCTGGGATCTCGATGCCGCTTCTCAAACTGCTGCGGGCCGTCGATGGCCGGGGTTGGGCCCCATCTCCGAATGCGACCTCACCTCCGAATGCCCCCCCCCCCCCCTCAGGCCCCAGGCCGGGGCCGGGGCCGGGGCCGGGGCCAGTCAGTTTGCATTTCCCAGCCCTGAAGGTCGCTTACTTCGCCCGTGATGTCTCCAGTTGGGGAACCCAGGGAAAGCGCAGCTCACGCACTCTTCCTGGCGCATCCCCTGCGCTCGATCCTGCGTTTGTTCCCGCTCCAGGGAGGCGAGGACCCCCCCTGATCTGGCCGCGCTCGCCCTTGCAGCTACCCGGCGTCTGCTCCCTCGGCCTGCGCCAGGGGCGGGTCGGAGAGGCAGGGGGCGTCCCCCGCGCCCGGGGGTTGCCAAGCAACCTGACCCTTGGTAGATCCCGAGCGGCGCGGAGCCCGCGGATTGGTGCGCGGCGGGGCAGGCGGGGCGGCGACGGCTTAAAGACAGTGGCGCTGGCTCCTCGCGTCCTCAGCCGCCGTGAGTTCAGGTCTGCACGGGTAGGTGCCGGTGAGTTCAGTCGGCGGAGCGGTACGCGGGGTCCCGGAGGCGCTGGCCATGGGGGGCGCGGGATTCGCAGGCGCGGACGCTGCGGGTCTCCCTGCGCCACAGCCGCCCCTCACTTTGGGAACGGCGCCCCAGCTGGAAGAGGAACGGGTTCGGCTGTCCTTGAACTGGTCTGCTCTGCCATCTGGGACCTCTGGGCAGGGTGGGTCCCCACAGCTTTTTCCCGGGGCCCGCGTGCGGCTGACCTGCGCATCGGCGCCCCCTCCGGCTCTGCAGAGCCCAACCTCCCGGGACCCCGTGCTCTTCGAGCCAGACTTCACCCGCTCCGAGATTTAAACAGTGAAAGCCGTGGGTGGTAGTGCAGCGGCACGAAGATGAGAAAACCCGAGGTGTGGGGAGACGCGGAGGCTAGGCGAGTGCGTCCGGCCGCAGCCTGCGGGGGGAGGACCCGGGGACCCTGGCTCCGCGCCTGAGTGCCGGATGTTTTCTCTGGAGGCGGGAAAGTAGAGGTGGCACAAGGAGGCTTTGGGACGCACGAGCCAGCCCCTGCCCCCGCCGGCCAGCCGCTTGTATCTGCACAGTGGGAGAGGTCCCCGGCTTTGGGGTGGGCTGCGTGGGTTAAACTAGACCTCGGGGCTCCGGAGGCCCGATTTCTCCTTGGGTCACTTAATGGAGTAGAGGCTCTAAGATGAGGGAGACCACTTGGCTAACGTGGCCTAGAAGGTGAGATCCAGGTGCGGGGGCTCCAGGTGGAGGCCGACGGTGGGCGTGGTCATCAGAATGGGGAAGGGGTACTGGGCACCCCCCTGAGCGAGGCCTTGCAACGGTGCTCACCCGGGCTGGCAATGAGGGCACGTGCAGGAGAACCCTTCCGGATCCACTCCCAGGTCAACAAGGGAGGACCAGGACAGCCAGTGGGGACCCGCAGGTCTTGGGGGCGGTGCGCGTTTCTGGTGGGCGGATTTCTAGCTACGGTGCAAATCGCCCTCCACCCCGCCCCGCCCCGCCCCCACCCCAGGCTGAGTTCGGAGTAGGCCACTGGGTTAGTGTTGGGCTGGCTTAGGGTCCTGCTGCTTTGATGCGCGCAGGGGCCGAGAGGCCTGGGCCGGGCAGTTCCATTATTTTGAGGGCGCCTCGCCGACCTGGTTCTCTTTGATTTCTTGCAGTTAAGCCAGATTGTGAGAGAGAAAGTATGTGGCTCTTTGATCTTTAAGGAGGCACTGCGGATCTTTGCTGGTTTCTTTCAGTAAAGTTCTGCTTTAGACCTGTTCTCCAAGTGTAGTCAGGGGAACACCGCGGGTCCTTGAGAGCTGTTGTCAAAACTGTTTTAGGGAGAAGAGGAAGATGTTTGCGGTCTTCCTCTGGAAAGAGACCACGCGCACTTTCCTCTGATAGCTGATGACCTGGGTATTCCTTGTGCCCGAATGTTCTGGGGTACGAGGCGTGGGGTGTGGATATAGATGTGCATTTTCGGAGATGAAATCAGTTTGTTTTTAGTGTTTCTGTACACCCTTGGCTATCTTTGCCTAAACCCGCTTTTAATTACTGCCTTTTAATTTCTGAGTTATCCTGAGTCTCCATGGAAAAACAACCCAAAGTAAGTGTATTTGGTGCTTTTCATTTGAAACCATAAGAAACTTTAAGCAGCGTAAAATTATTCTTGAATTTAATAATAATTCTAGAACACAGGGCTACCAATTCATGTATTTTATACTTAGGGGTAGGTTATTGGCTGAAGAGGAGATATTAGAAGCACTGTTTTCCCCTCACACCACCTGTGTCTAGAAGTGCTGAACAAAAACAATTCCCTGACTCACGGAAGGGGAGGAATTTGCTCCAGAGAACCGGGGCAAAACTAACTTTAAAATGAGGAACGTGTTTCTTGGCTGTTTCTTACTGCTGTTAGTAATTTACCTTCTGTGTGTCCTGCCCTAGACTCATTTTGACAGCATTACGGTGCCCGGAGCATCCTTTTAAATCCGATTAGAGTTCTCTGAGGAAAAATAACTTGAACAGTTAAACGGCAGGCAGCGTGAGCTCTTTAAAAAGCTCCCGTTTTTTTGTTAGTTTTTCAGGCTAAGAATGAGTCAAATATTGAAAGATCGAGAAGGATAAGTTATTAATTTGCATTGGCTGAAAAACACACAATCAAGCCTTGTTTGGAGGGAAAAGCATTGGAAGAAATCAGTCTTACTACTTTCAAGTGGTGCCGGAATTTGCAGAGAACTAGGAAGCTGAGTGAACAGAAGTGTGTGTGTGTGGGAGGGGGGGGTTCCCTTACAAATGGAAGCACTTTTCTCTTTGCTTGCGCCCTTATGGTGTCTGTCTGGTTGCAAAAAGATTCAGAACGAACAAAGCGAGCTTGTGACCTCAGCCACTGCAGCTTGACAGCTCTCCAGAACTCAGGGATTTCCTGGTGAGATCAGAGTAACCTGTGCGGCTTGACTTTCTGATGTTCACAGTGAAATGTGTTGGCATTTTCTTGGAAGACGCACGTAACTTTCTGAACCAGTGTTTCACAAAAATCCAGTTGGTGCAGTTTAAAAATCACACAAGGATAAGTGATCCCTCAAAGCGTTAGAGAGACCAAGAGCTTTTAATGTAGTCAAGCACAGAAGGTTTGCTGTCAGGGTTCCCAGTACACACACTGCAGTCTTTAAGGAAGGTTAAAAGCTAGTTAACCTTTAGGTTTTTGCAGAAGCTTTATCTGAAAAGGCTGAGATAGTAGCATTTTCTTTTCTCTACTACTTTACTGTGTGAGGTTGGGGTTTTTTATATTTCAAAGCAACAGATTGAGTACCCAAGCGGATCTGAGAACTGGCTGCCTTCTGCTAAAATAGATACCAGAGTTTTGTTAAAATATGGTACATTAACATTTATTGTTAAATGAATTAATAAAGATGCTTAACATTTACTGGTTTTCTTTACTCCCTTCCCCTCGCTTTCCCCTCTCATCTCCTGTCTTTTTCCCTCCCTCTCCCCACCTCTTCACCTTTTGTACTGGGGTTGAGGCCAGTGCTCCACCACTCAGCTCCAGCCCTGGGTTTTGATCTGCTGTACAGTAAATATAAACTTTGTAGCCCTCCAGTTTTAAGTGTAAAGGAGTCTGAAAGTAGAAATGTAAGAATTGTGGCCTTGAGAGAGTGCTAACACATCACCGATGTGGTGGATCAACTAGCATCAGCCTGTGTGGGAACCGAGCTGAGCCAAGCACCTGGTTCTGGGCGTGGAAGGCCCACCTGAACACTGTTGCCAGCAGCGTAAAGGAGAATAGAAGGGAAGATTGGAGCTGCTAATTTCCCAGGAGAATCTTTGTTGCAGCAGGTTTTCCTGATACAAACACAGCTGCTGGCTGTTCATGTGGAAAGAGGAGCTCAGGACCTCATTGTGGCTGAGGATGGCTGAGCTCTGGTTCTTAACTTTGAGCATTGCTTCCTGGTGCAGTACAGAGCCCTCAGCCTGCTGGCTCAGACCCTTCCTCCACTGGCCGACTTTCTAGCTTCTACCACTGACCTTTCGGTTGTTTGTTACTGGGATCTTGGTACAGACTTGCATGAAACATTGTCTTGGATTCTAGGCCTCTTGTGGGACACTGCCTTGGGATCCAAGCCCTCAGCTGGGTTCTTTGGGTCTCTGGCAGGGACAGATCTCTTCCACTCTCTGCGTTTGACTTTTTGGATGATTATTATAAGACACTCCTACAAATTTATGCATCTTGTATAAAATCTATTCCCCTGCACAAGTTGACTACAATGAGAACGCAGGTCTAATTTCATCCTTGTGGGAAGATGATGGTGCACTTACAGATGTACAGATGTCCCCGGGGCCACCACTGTGCATGCTGTCATAGGGAGGATGTCCCCAACATGGTCCTGCAAGGAACCTTTCCTGGGACAGGGCCCAGCCAGGACACTTTCCTTTTAATGCTGGCCCAGCTGGAAAGCCCAGGGTCCACCACAGGCAGGAAGGGCAACTTCCACTGCCTGTTTAGGATGACGGGCCAGAGGTGGCTCATAGAGCTGAGGACCCCCCAGAAACTGAGCCCCTGCCAGGGCTCCCCCTGCCTTTTTTCTGTGTACTCCAGAAAGTATCTATGGCCAAGAGTGTGAAAGTGTGTTTTCAGAAACCAGAATTTTTCTTTATTTTCTGTTACTGGGACCTGGCTCTGAGTTGGAATGGCAGGAAAATGTCTGCTACCCTAGTTTTAACCATTGTAAGTCTGCTTAAGATACTAAGTGAAGTCTGGGCTTCACTGGAAATGTATTGAGCAGTAATTTGTTTGCTTTTCTCTCTGCACCTTGCAAAACAGAAGAGAGCTGGGATCTTAAGCCATCACCACTTTGTGAGGGGTGGTACTGGAGGTGACCCTGAAGGCTTGCAGACCCTGGGGGGGGGGCGGGGACCTGGCACTCGAGTCTTGCAACTCCAGGTCAAAGTGCACTGTGCTTTGACCCTGTCCAGGGGAGATGAGTAGCTGGTGTCACAGCCTGCAGAGGCAAAGGCAGTGGCTGGCTTTGCGGTCATGCTAACAGCTTGCCCAAGTGTTGGGGACAGAATGCAGAAGATGGGTCAGGATGGGCCACATGTGTCTGGCCCACCCTGACCTCGTGGCCAGGCCTTGACTGCAAGAGCAGCTGGAGTTTGAGCTAATAAGAGAGAGGAGCAGACTGACATTTGTCATCTTGGAGTGAGGAAATTGCTTTTCTCAATGATCCTTTTGAAGGAGATGGCAGTAAAACCAAAATCAGTCAGTTTACTAAATATTCTTGAGGACCTTTTTCTCTTAACCACCTGCTTTCCCAATCCGCTCCATCCCTAAGACAATGCCTGCCAGCCATCTCAGCGGTGCCCTTAGTGGGGTTCCCGGATTCCAAGCTGACTCTGCCCCTTTGTGACAGATGCCTTGTCAGTTTCAGCACAAGAGGTTGTTTCCAGGAACCGGAAGAGTGAGATACCCTGCCTAACTCTGCTTCTGTTCTCCCCATCAACCCCCAGGGTACTCCAGAAGTAAGCACAGGTTGTCAGGATGCTGAGGCCTGTGGTGGGTGGCACGGTGCGGATGCTGGCCTGCAGCAGCCAGACCTCTGTCCTGCTGTCTGTCCTGCCAGTCAGGTTTCAAAGTGCCGCTCCTCTGCACACGCAGGTGAAGGCCCGTTTCTACTCTGCATCCTCCTCAGAAGCTGGCTGTCCCCGGATCTTGATTACAGGTGGGTTTCTCCCACTTTTCTTCCTGTTAGTGGTGGGGTGCCACTGTCTCTGTTCTGAGTGCCTGCCTTCGGTCCTGACCCTTCACTCTGGTCCGTGATACTGCCCTTCCTTTATTTATTTATTTATTTATTTATTTTGTCTTTTTCTTTTTTTTATCGGTACCGGGGATCGAACTCGCGACTGCCTGCTTGCAAGGCAGGCACTTATGCCGCTGAGCTAAATCCCCAGCCCCGCCCTTCCTTTATTCACTGACAGCGGCCTCTCCCACCAGCAGCTTTCTCCAGAATGGTGCAGAGCCCACGTCTGCCCTCTCCACTGTTTCTGGCATTCAGTTTCCCTGACAAGAGTTTTGTTGTTGTCAGGAGGAACCTGGGAATCTGGGGGCCTGGGAGCAGAGGCTGGGGCACAGGAGGGGAGGGTTCGGGGATCAGATTGATTGATGCTGGCTGCACACCGTTCTTTCCACCACCTCCTCAGTTGAGCCCAGACTCATCCCAGACCATCAGTACAGCATGTCGGGAATACAATGCTAAGTGAGCGTCTGCCAGGGGTGTGCGTCACCATGGAGCTCGGGGTCACCAGCTGGCCTTTCCGATCTGCCTTGCTCTGGACAGTGGGCCCTGGTTCTGCTACCCACAGGCTTTGCAAAGTCACTTGCAAGGCACTTCCTGCCAGCAACAGCCCCTGCTCTTCAATGGACATGTTTTATTTCCTCCCGCTCTGTCTGGTTTTCTCCTGTGGCTTTACCTCGCTGCCATCCTTCCACCTCTACAGGGGCCTCCCCAGGGCACCTGGGGTGCAATCCCATGGGGACAGATGCCCGTGTAAGTTCTACCACATCACATTCTCAGCCCTCCTTCGGGATGCGCCCCCTGCCCCAGCTTTCCCAGCATCCTTAGGCCTCCACGGTCAGAATCTGTTGCATCTGTCTTGCCCTTCTCAGGTGACTTCCTGCTCTTCCTGCCCCTTTGCCTTCCTATCCCAGCCCCGTGCAGGTGGAAGCAGGATGCTGGGTGGTCCCTGCAGGGGGTTCCACTGCTGCTCTGTCGTGAGGACCTGAGGAGGGTCCTGAGACTGAGATAGGGACTAAATCCACCCAGCTGGAGTGAGTTTAGCAATCTGCAGACCCTGGTGACTCCACTGAGGAAAAGGAATTTTTAGGGCACGTCAGGGAGAGGCTCACAAGGGAAGGGCTTTTGAAGGAAATCAAAAGGTGTGTGTGCAAAGCGGAAGACATTTAGACTTCTCTCAAGGGAATGAAAACCCCAAGGAAAAGGTGGTCTGTGCCCCAGATGGGTATTGGCCCATTTTACAGGTTTTTTTCTAAGATCGGTAATTTAAACATTCTTTGGATCTCCTCAACCGGTTCCTTAGGACCGGAGTCCTGCTCTTTAATTCCTCTGTCAAGCTAGTTCAGGGGCTTTCAGGTTTCTGAGGAGTTTGGGGTGTGCTGGGTCTGGAAGGAAAGGAGCTCAGTTAAACCAAAGGAAGCTGACTCTGGATTGCCGTGGGTGACATGGGTCTGGAAATTGCAGTCTTGTTACGAGTACTGTGTTTTAATTACTATTTCTCCGTCTCGCATTTCTTCTCTCCTACCTCCAAACCATTTGAGCTTGGTGCTGAGCCTCCTGGCACCAGCACCAGAGGGGCCTCTGCACCCAGCTCATCTCGAAGGCCGAAACAGCTCTGGACCTGGGCCTCGAATCTGGTGACTTCTTGTGTCCTTCGGTCCCTTTTTCCTCTGTCCGGGTGCCTTCATGCCGGAGGGCATCTGTCTCTGAAATGTGCCCCAAGTGGACGTCTGTCCTAGCTGGGTGAGCGTCATTCTGTGCTCTCACTGCAGTCAGCCCCAAATCCCAACCCAACCCAGGATCCTGTTTAACCCCCTTCGGTGGGGAAAGATCCCTGGTTCATGATTGCGCTCTGTGAGGAACCAAACTGGCTGGATTTGGGTTAACGTTTCACTGTTTTTCCTCTCCCTCCAGGTGGCCTTGGCCAGCTGGGAGTGAGCCTCGCTAGCTTTTTGAGGTAAGAGCTTGAGGTTGTAAGTCTGTGGCCCTGTGTGGCCATCTGTCTCCTCTTGTCCTGTCACTTGTAGGAAATCACATCCCAGTGGCTGTTAAAAACATGTTTTATTTTATCTCCTGAGACTGCTGCAGGCCTGTTTCTCAGTGCTCCTGTCTGGGCCCTGCATGCTGTTCTCCTCGCTAACATAGGCAGAGTGAGACTGGCCCTGGTGGCCACTGGCCTTGTAGTTGTTTGGAGCAAAGAGAAGGGAACTGTGTGGGATTGCAGAGGCGGGGTGAAATATCGAGGAGAGAGGGGTAAAAACCCTGACGACACTGGGAACAGCTGGTAACAGCTGGAGTAGAGGTGGGAGGTGAGGCTGCGGGGCAGGAGTGCGCTGGGCACCATCAGTGGAGGCCCTGGGTGGGGATGGGTGCCCAGGCATAGAGGAAAGAGGGCTCAGAGGCCGACCAGAAACCGCAACTCCTGTTTCACAGAATTGTCCTTTATAGGGCGCAGTGTCACCCACTTGCACGTTCTGGCTTTCCCTTAGGAAACGATTCGGGAAGGACAATGTCATTTTGTCGGACATAAAGAAACCCCCCGATTATGTCTTCTGTAGTGGTAAGCAGTCCTACACCTGGATGCTGTTTTAGTCTTAATTGCCGAAGTGCAGATAAAGAAGCAGCCAGTGCCGATTGCAGTATGTGCCGCATGGCTCGTAGCCAGAGTAGAGAACTGATGATGTCCTGTATTGGATTATTTTCTATTTTTTAATGTGCTGTTGTTCAGGTGATACAAAAACAGGAGGGGTCTTTGGAACTTTAAATTAAATTTGGAATACTATGTTTGATATTATTTGGAATATTTTTGAAATAAAATCTTTAGTTCTTGCCTTTTGAGTTTTTGGGAACACAAAAATCAAGTTCTGTGATGAGGAAAAAGAATTTTTAAAACCTGGAGGAATTAATCGTGGTGTTACAATGTAAAATGAATTGCTTTTAAGCTACTGAACACGCACAATCTTGGATTCCCTGAGTGGAGCTCTCCACTGCTTTAAAAACATCTTTAAGTCCAGTGTGGTGCATGTATCTGTAATCCCAGCACTCTGAGGCTGAGGAAGGAGGATCATGACTTTGACCTCAGCCTGGGCAATGAGCAACTTAGCCCCACCCTGTCTCAAAACAATAAGTATCAAAAGGGGGCTGTTGATGTAGCTCAGTGGAAAGACCCTGGGTTCATTCAGTCCCAGCACTGAGAAAGTATTACAGTGTCAGTTGTAAGTCTTCTGGTTGGCACCAGCCTTTTGCTGCTTATCCTGGGGAAATTGGCATTGAACATAACTGGCTGTCTCTTTAATGTAATTCAGCATATGGGGGATTCATGACCTGTGGTCTTTATGCACCAAGGCAGGTTTTTACAAAACTCTGCCCCTCCATTCTCTTTAAATATGTACCTTTCCAGCCGCAAGATGCCTGGGCCTGCAGTTGGCTCTGCTTCTGCTTGTGCTATTTGCTGCTGCCCAGGTGCTTAACTTGTTTCCAGCCTCATTTCCTCCTCAGTGAAAGGCACACACACCTCCAAAGCCCCAAGCAGCCAGCTCCATGTGTAGTCCCTAGCACGGTCCCCGGCATGGGCAAGTCTAGCAAAGGCTACAGCTATCCTTGCTGTGAGGTGACTGTGGCCTGTGACTGCATCATAAAACACTGCCATCCCAGTGACAGGATGACCGCCGAGCTCTGCGAGCCCCAGCCTGTTGGCTTCTGTCCTCCTCACAGGCCCGTTTGTGTTCGTCAACGTCTTAGACCTCGAGAACCTCCGTAGGGTCGTGGTGAACAATCGCGTTACCTGGATGCTGCACTACAGCGCCCTGCTCAGCGCTGTGGGCGAGGGGAATCTGCACCTGGCCAAATCCCTGAACATCGCTGGTGAGGGTCGGGGTCTGGCTCCCGCCTGCCTGGATTGGGTTTCCTAGCTATTTGGCAGGAAGAGCTTCTTCCCAGAGTGTGAGGATGCTGGTTCCTTTCAGGATTGCACAATGTTCTGGATGTTGCGGGAGAGTACAACCTGCGCCTGTTTGTTCCCAGCACGATTGGGGCTTTTGGACCTACCTCTCCCCGGAACCAAACCCCTGATCTCAGCATCCAGAGACCCAGGACCATCTATGGGGTGTCCAAGGTCCACGCGGAGCTCATGGGGGAAGTAAGTGTCCCTGATGTACAGGTCCTGGGTGATTCCTGGTGTCCTTCCACAAGAGGTCTCTATGTTCCTCCAGCCAGCCCCTGGCACTGCCCCTTATACCTTCCATGGCAGGGCCGCCTGCACAGTGCATGACGCCCTGAGTTTCCCGGACAGTTACCTGTCCTTCGGTCTCTGCGTGTTCCCTTTGAGCGGCTCTGTTCTTCCAGGCTCTGGTATTGGTTGTTCCTCATGGTAACTTTACAGCTTGCTATGGAAAACCTCGAACGTCTTTTGGGGTTGGTTTTGCTTTGTTTTACTGCCTCTCTGTATAACGAACTCTCCAGTGGTTTCCGTTGGTGACCTGTCACAGTCTTGATTCTCTGACCCGCACCTTCACGGTACAGAGTACAGGACGGGGAGAGATTTGCAGATCCCTGCTGAGCACTGATTTTATCACTTATGGTGATAGCGTATCCTCAGGATGGTGACTCTTGGGAGAGAAAGACTTAAGAATATTTATTGAAGATTAGCGGAAAGTCTGAAATTCACTTTCTTTTGGAGGATTTTTTTGTTTGTTTGTTTTTGTCTTTTTCCTTTTTATCGGTACCAGGGATCGAACTCACGACTGCCTGCTTGCAAGGCAGGCGCTTATGCCGCTGAGCTAAATCCCCAGCCCCCTTTTTGAAGGATTTTGATGTAACTGCATCCGAAGTTTATAAGCTGAGTGTGGTGGTATGTGACTTCAGTCCCTGCGCTCTGGGAGGCTGAGGCAGGAGGATTGTAGGTTGGAGTCCAGCCTAGGCAATTTAGCAACTTAGTAAGATCCTGTTAAAAAACAGGGGAAAAATGGCTCAGGGCAAAGGCCCTGGATTCAACCCCAATATCCCCACAAAAAAGATATTTCAGAAGAGAGCTGTTGTTTCTTTGCTTAGTTCCATCAGAGTTAAAAGATACTTTTTTCGAGTAAGTTTTCTTGTCTTCTTAGTATTACTGTTACCGGTTCGGGCTAGATTTCCGCTGCCTGAGATACCCCGGCATCATTTCAGCTTCCTCCCAGCCTGGAGGAGGAACCACAGGTAAGCCTCATCCCAGGTTCCTGTGGCTGTGGCCAGGCTCTCTTCTGTCCCAAAAGGCTGTTTCCGGTGGGTGAGTCTGCTGTCTCTTCAAACAGTGCCACCCAGGGTTGCGTGCCCTTCTGCAATGTGGATCTGGATGCGCCCTCGCACCCTGCGCCCCTCACTTGCCCTTGTTCAGGGGTCTCACTGGTACTGTCCATTGGCCACCCTTGTACTGGAGTCAAGTGTAAAACAGAATGAGTATCTTAAACAGGAAGACACCAGCATGGCCTCTTGATTTGAACACAGCCTTGTGACATAATCTAGAGAGAAAGCTTGATTAAAGGGGCTTCGTGTTTGAAAGTAGCTGAGGTAGTATCTCCTTTGCACTCTGATGCTTCCATTCAGCAACCTTCAGCCTGGGTTCCTTCCCCTCCCAGGGTCCTGAGATGCAGTGGAAAAGGTACTTGGCAGAGTCTGAGTGGTTTTAAAGTCTTTGGTTGGGGTCACATTTTAAAACCAGAGCTTCCCCAAGTGTGGCTCAGAGACACTGGAGCAAGGAGGTGACAACCACTTTGATATTGAGACAAGGGCATTATTTTTTATTTCCTCCTCCTCCTGTACAAGTGCTCCACAGGATCGAAGGGCTGTGGGCCAGGCTCAGCAGAGCAAGTGGAAACAGTCAGAGGAGGGGGCGCCGCCACATCCCACCAACCCCAGCCCTGAGACTCCAAATGCAGGCAGGCTGTTCCTCTCAGCACATTTTCCTTTCCCCACTAACTATCATACAGGTTAGTATAGGCTGACTGTCACTTTGGAATGCAGTGACCTTTTGAAGAGTTGGTCAGCTGCATAGGACACCGTGGATCTAACTGGCAGCTATTGTGTCAGGCCACTACCTATGTCCTAGGTGCTTCTTGGTGCTGTGGCAAGAAATTCTTTTTCCGAGTCGAGATTCTCTTTCAGACTACGCCATCCAGATTTTCTATGACGCGGTGAAGAGCGGCAAGTTTGAGTGCTACCTGGGACCCAGCACCAGGCTCCCAATGATGTACATAGATGACTGCATCCGGGCCACTCTGGAGTTGATGGAGGCCCCGGCAGAGTCTTTGTCCATGAGGACCTACAATATCAATGCCATGAGCTTCACGCCTGCGGAGCTAGCCCAGGAGATCAGCAAGCATGTACCTGAGTTCCGTATCACGTACCGCGTGGACCCTGTCCGGCAGGCCATAGGTGGGTGCCCCATGGCCATGTGCTTTCAAGCCCAGACTGAGCCTCCCTCGGCTTCCCTGCAGCCTTGTCCTCCAGGACACACCCGGGAGGTTGGGTCGCACACAGCTCTGTCTCTGGGCCAACATCGCTGTGGAGTTAGCTGTCCCTGAGCTGGTGAGCAGATGCTGGGCTTGGGGAAAGCAGGTGAAATGGTTCCATTCCCGAGGAATAGGTCAAGATATTACACCATTGAGTAGTCTGAGTGTAATGTGAAGAAAAACCCAAAGAAAAATGTGAGTTTTCCTGTACTGTAAGTGCTGCTTCGTGCCCTTCTGTGTGGGAGATTCCTACTTTCAGAATTGTCGGGGGTTTACAATGTGACAGTCACAGCTGCTGACAGCAGTGGTGACCTCATCTGGTCCCATGAAGGTGAATCTGCATAGACACGGTCACTTGCCCCTCTCTACAGAGCTGCCCTCTGACATACCTTGTCCCATCCACAGGCATGGATGATGCCCTAGACCTTTAGCTACTCCAGAGCCTGCATAACCAAGCCACCTTTGCCTCTCCCCAGCCGACAGCTGGCCCATGAGCCTGGACGACAGCACAGCACGCAAGGACTGGGGGTGGAAGCACAACTTTGATCTTCCAGAGTTGGTGACGATGATGCTGAACTTGCATGGTTGTGACACCAGAGTGGCCCGAATCAGCTGACAGTGTCAGAGGAGCACTGCCCAGGTCCTGCATGGCCACAAGGGACAAAGGTCAGGAGGTGGGAGCTTGTGTCCTTTGGAATGGAGGACAGATTGGGCCAGGTGGAGGATGGTTTTGGAGAGTTTTCAAAGCATTGTGCGTTTGGTAGGAGGACTTCACACATAGCCTTCTCTGTGTGCCTAATCTGGCCCAGGCACCCCTGCCATGTAGGGCAGACCTAGGCCATAATCATGGTGAGTGACCCTTTCTGGACAGGTGAAAGTGTGTGACATTGGTACTTAATCTCAGTGTCACCTGAAGGGTCTGTTATTCTCTTGACCGTTGACCAGAAGTCTTTGCATGCTCTGAAGGATGCACTCAGCATTCTTCATTGAACCATCAGAACAGAAAACATGTTTGCATGTGTTAATCCTATATTCGGCATGTTCAAGGGATGTTAGTGCTGCTTTAAAAATTACTACCTCTCTTGTATGCTTCTGTCATTTTTGTTTGTTGAGGCAGGTTTTCCCTATGTAATTCAAATTTGAATTCATGATGTAGCCCACCCTGGCCTCCAACTCATGGTGATCCACGTGCCTCAGCCTTGTGAGGGCTGGGATGATAGTCCTGCAGCCCCACCCCAGCTTTCTGTGGGATGTATCCAGGCAGGGCAGAGTTGCAGAGATGACATAGCTAAGGAAGTATAGCCTTCTCTTCTCGAGATCCCTTCCCATCAGGGCGCTGAGTTACGTCCCTGGAAGAGGTAGCTTTGGTGACTTTCTGGCCAGTGATGTCAGAACCCCAGGGAGCTTGTTTTTTCTGTGGGAGTTCTGGGCTGTATCCCTCAGCTGGACTCAGAAGGTAGGACAATCCCTCAGGGACACACACACACACACACACACACACACACACACCCCGTCTAGACCTGTTCTGAACCCTGCTTTCTGACAGCACTTTCTTGTTGCAGCCTCTGCTCCATTCTCAGACCCAGGCCACTCTCAGAGGAACTGCTCCAAACCTTCTGATCTAACTCCTGTGTAGACATTCAAGTCCCTGCTCAGCTACCTCCAGAAGCCACCAGTCAGAGCCCCTGTGATGGATCTGTGTGGCTGTATATGATGATGGTCATGGATTAAAAGGCATTTGTACTGTGTCAGTGACAATAAATCAATTGTTATGCATTTGGAACTTGGAATACAGTGAGTTTTTCAGAGGCATAACTGGTTTCAAATATTTGATTTAACTGGAGAACTTTAGGTCATTGCGTTAGTTGGCCACCCTTAACCTCAGTCACCCTCAAAAGTCTCAAGACAAAAGCCACATGTAGACAAACTTCCTGCCAGAGCATAACCCGCAATTGGAAGTGCAGCTGCCAGTGGAGCCCTTGTTCTCACCTGAAAGTTCCTGAATGGTTGGTACCAACTGCACTTCTACCAGCACTCTGGTTCTGAGCTCTGACCAGGATCTCCTACTAAAGCAGAAGAATAGAGCATCGTGGGGGCTGGGGATTTAGCTCAGCAGCATAAGCACCTGCTTTGCAAGCAGGCGGTTGGTCATGAGTTCCATCCCGGGTACCAATAAAAAAAAAAAAAAAACAGCATTGCAAAACTGGCCAGGGAGGTGGGCATGCCCTGTAGGTCGCAGGACACATATGCAGAACAGTTGCCAAAGTTGTCCCCTACCCCACCATACAGGGACTTCTCTCGAGAGCTTGAGCAGTTTCACATAGGACGGCCTAGACCTGACATCCGCCGGAGGGGTGGGAGATACAAAGCAGACTGTGGATGTTAAGCTCTTGGCTCCTGTGTTCTTTCACAGTAGTTCACCGTCACGCTGTCAGGTACACGCACTTTTCTTTCTTTTACTTGACTGGCACTTGCTCTGCAGAGCGTATTTCTTTTCCTACCTTTACTAAATATAAAACCTTATTACCGTTTGTGCCTGTGTTGGCCAATTCTTTGTTCAGGACACATAGAATTTAGACACCACCTCTAAAAGGTGACCTAGCACCCCTAAAACCCAACCCAAGCTTGGCTCATAGCCAGGGCTGTGCTCCAGTGGACAGCCCCAGACCTCTGCAAAATCCTCTATGGATGCCTTGAAAAGGCTCCTGAGCCACATACATGGTCAGGCAGTCGCAGCAGTGGCCCCACTCTATCAAAATCTTAGTTTCCTCATTGCTGAGACACTCACGACTGCAAAGAAGTTTATTTTAGCTCATGGTTTGTGGAGATTTCAGTCCATGGCTGCTGGCTCCAAGACAGGGCAGAAGGATGGTGGCAGGAAGCAATGAGCAGATCAAAGGCAGACTCTACGGATGAGTATCACATCCCCATGACCCATTCCCCCAAAACCCTCTTAGGCGTGCATGAGCCTTTGGGGGGACATCTAGGTATAAGCTATAACAGCTTGGGGATGAAAAGGTGCACATTTGCTTGCGGTACTTGCCTCTGCTCTGGTGTTTTTCATCCTAAGTGTATGTGCACTGTCTCCATGTGGATATTAGTTCTGCTGAAGTGCTTCTGTGGGGAATTGCTGTCGTGTGTCTCAGGCTCCAAGAGGGGGTGCTACACGGAATGACAAACAGGCAGGTAGGTGTTTCTGCATTCCTCAGCCACCGCTGGTAGCTGAAGGTGCTCAGCTGTTTCTTTTGTGGTACTGGAGGTTGAACCCAAGGCATTAGTACTGAGATAGATCCCAGCCCTTTGTACTTTGAGAAAAGGTCCAATTAAGTCACTAAATGGTGCAGGTTGGGTTTAAATTTAGTGTCTTTCTGCATTGGGGTGCTGGGATTACAGGCATAGGCCATCATGCCTGAGATTTTCTTTGGCTTTTCTTTCCTTCTCTTCTTCCTCTTCCTTCTTGCCCCTCTAGTTGCCTCTTGTTCCTTCTCTTCCTCAAAGATAGGATCTTGCCACGTCATCCAGGCTGACCTCAAACTCCTGCCCCAGGCTCTCAGGAATTGGGATGAAAGCGCTGTGCCACCACACCCAGCTACTAATAGTATTTTTCAATTCACATGAGGCCGGATCACTGATTTGTCACTGTGTGTTATGTTGAGAACTACAATGTTTTCAAAAACTATTGCGTAACTTTTGTTTATTGAATCCCAGCACTCTGGGAGGCTGAGATAAAATGACTGCAAATTTAAGCCCAGCCTGACTTAGTGACACCCTGTCTCAGAATAAAAAAGTGCTGGGGATATAGCTCAGTACAGAGACCAGCAGGTCAATCCTCAGAACCATTCCCTGAAAAATATTTCTATTAAGGATTCAAACAATTTAAAAGACACAATATAAATCATCCTCCTCTAAATCCAGTTGACAAGTGGAGTTCACAATATAATATAAAAAATTTAAAAAAAGAAAAAATAATATGCTTCCTGATTTTTCCTCCTATACTTACACAATCTAAGATTAAAAGGATGTCAAATCTTCTATTTCTTTTTCTCTATAAAGGTGAGATATGGCAACATTACCTAGTTTTAGAAGAGATACACTTGTTTGCAATCTACTATAGTAGTTGTTTTAAAATATTCTTTAGTCCTCCCAAATGTGATAAAAGTAACTTAAATGTAGTTTTAATATGTACTACTAAAAAATAGCTGTATCACTCAGTGAATGAAATATTGTAATTAGTCATTTCAGAAATGTACAATTAATGTATCAGAAGTCATAAACATTTATTTGCATAGTCAAATTCCTATTCATAGACATTAATTTATGATGATGTTCTCTTCTATCAACACTTTCCAGTACCACAATATTGTTTACATTTTGATTTGCTTTTTTTAAAAAACCTTATAAATGTTAACTTCATAAATGTTAACTTCACCCATGAGATACTAATCCTGCTTTAATATCACATTAAGATGAATTAGTCATTTTTGAAACTAGAATTATATCAGTCTTTAGGGTTTTTAGATCCTGGATGCCCAAGTATAGGGTAGCTGAACGAGACAGACAAATCTCTGCCTTCCAGTGTGAAAGTCTCCAAAAACTCACCCAACTTAAGTGTAACTTTTAGGATAGATGTGATTTTTTTTTTTTTTTTTTTTTTTTAGTAGTTAGGTGAGTCCTTTACAAACTGTGAGCTAAAACAAACCTCTTTTAATTTATGGATGTCAGGTCTTCTGTCCCAGCAACAAGAGAGTAAGAGATTTTGGTACCAGGAGTAAGGTCATTGCTGTGACTAGCTGAACATGTGGTTCAGAACTTTGGAACTGACTTGTGGGACAAGGTTGGAAAACATGGACAAGCCAGCTGGAGAAGCAGCCCTGCAATACTGTGAGCCAAGCTTGATGAGAGATTCTGGTCAGAGCTCAAGAGCAGAATGCTCTTGAGAAATGCAGTTAGAGAAGAAATGCAGTTAGAGAAGACTAGGTTCAGGAGGTTTTGGTTGGGTTGGACTCCACTGACAGTTGGACTCCAGAATTTGTGTAGCATTTGTCCATCTGACAAAAAAAAAAAATAGTCTGTGTTTTGTTTATGTCCTGCGACTACAGGAGACTGAGAGTAAGGATAGTGAACTAATCAATTTGATGGAGAAAATTTCAAGGAAGCTGGTCATTCTGATAGAGGCGTGATTTCTTTGGGCTGGGGGCATGGGTTAGAGTCAAGTGCAAACAGTCCAGCTGAATGAATTAAAAACTTGAGTTTGGCCAGAAAGAAGTTTCAGTAAACTTTGGACCTGTAAATTTGTAACAGAGGAGAACTGGGTTGTTAAAAAGATTAACATTAAAAAGAAGTCAAATACTTTGGATCTGGACAATACAAAGCATGTGTCAAGGTCATGGGAAGAATCAGAAAGATCCCACCCTTTGCAGACTGTAGGGTTGAAAAGTGAAAGACTTTGCTTTGGAAAGAGAGGCCCAGAGACTGTATTCTATAGTAGCAGCAGCCTAGAGAACAGGAATTGATCCCTCAGGCTTCAGCTTACCATGCTCAGCCACCCAGGCACTCAGAGGTCTCTGCAACCACCAGCAAGATACAGAAAGACCCAGGTATGCTAACGCTCAGGGAAGACCTTGGTTTCATCCATGTGGTGTTGGGTTCATAGGCATGCGCAATGCAAAAGTTGTGGGTTCAGGGAGACTTCCACCCAGATTTCAGAAGAGGGCCTGGTAGACCAGGCTGTATGTGCCTGAAAGAGCTGTGTATGAAGTTTTGAGTGTGAAACTGAGAGTGCAGTGCAGACCCAAGGAGACTGGAGAAGCCAGGAATGAGGATCCTCTGAAGAAAGCTGCAAAGAATGAGCAAAGCTAGCCCAAGAGAGAAACCACTATGGCCAGAACCACAGGCAGTGCCGTAGGGACAGGTCTGCCCAAGCTGTTTGGAGCTTACATCTCCCATAGGGGCTGGGCATAGAATTTCAGTATTTAATGCTTCCCCTGCTAGATTTTGGTCTTGCTTTGACTTCTTTATCCCTTTTGGAATGGGACTGTTTACCTGATTGCTTTGTATGTTGGAAGTGTTTAATTTTCTTTTCATGTTTACAAGGGGTTTCATGGCTAAGAGTTTGCCTTAAACCGAGGGGAAACTTTGGACTTGGACTTTTCAGCAATCCTGAAATTGTTAGGACTTGGGCAATCTTAGACCTGGACCAAATGATTTTGCATAAAGGGATGCACGTGAATCTTTTGGGGCTGCGTGGAATGTTATGATTTATATCTAGTTATACCCCAAACCCTCATTTGCCTACAAAAAATTATCTACTTCCTATTTCTCCTTTAATAAACCAGCATCAAAATACCTTAATTCCAAATATTTTCCTTAAAGTTATTTATCACATCCATATTAAGACAAGAATTATTTGCTTGTCTTGCTGAGGAGTATATAATAGCTAAAATATGGATTTTTTTTTTTTTTTTTTTTTTTGGTACCAAGGATCAAATCCATGACAGTGTGCTTCCCAGGCAGGTGCTTATGCTGCTGTTAAATCCTCAGCTTTAGTTAAAATATGGATTTCCATTCTCTGAAATTGGTAGAACTTTATGTTGGAGAAGTTTGAAAGTTCTGTTTATTGTTAAATCATTTTTGTTTTAGAGGAAAAGCTCAAACATTTACTGAATACCTACCATATGCTTTGAAACTAATTTGGCAATGTTTACTAACTTCTGGAAATGAACTTCTGTGCTGACATATTTATTCAGTTTGAAACAGATGGGTGGGTGTCTGAGGTAAGAAATG